AGTTAGAGTGTGTTTATAAAAATATTTAAAAATAGACTACATGTACCACAATTATATGTATTCTTCTAAATGCAAATTAATATATCTATATTTATATAATTGATATTATAAAAGGAATATTAATTACACATTCTTCTAAAAAGTTCTAGAATAGTGTTTATCAGACCTGCACTTCTAAATTTATCAATCCTATTCTTACATTTGCAAACAAATATATACGAGTACCTATTAATAGAAAACCGTGTGCTCGTAATTCTTTTTAACAAACATTGAAAATGTTGAGGAGCTACATTTAATATTTCTATAGGTATTTTGTAAACAATTCTTAACGTCACGATGAAAAAATACATATAACTACAAATTATTCTTGCCTTGCTTCTTTTTTTTCTGGACATTAGGGCAAGAAAGTCCTCTTGATTTTAATAAATCTTGAACATTGTGACACGTTGAACTCTTCAATCTTCTCCTTTTTCGCCCCACTTTTTTTCTTTTTTCGCCATTTTTTACTTTATACTTCTTGTTTTTGCCTTTGCCATTTACATTATACTTCACTTATGGGTCCCCTAATCAATTTCCTTAGTTTTTTATGTATCTTTAACAAACAATATTTCATTTTAACTAATTGCATTATAAAAGTTGTCAACGACCAAGGTAACAAAACCACCCCCAGCTATGTGGTCTTCATCGACACCGAGAGGCTCATCAGAGACGCTGCAAAAAGTCATGTATTTTTCTCTAACTTATAAATCTGTTGATATCTTTGGACAAACTCAATTTTTTTTAACTGGATAGGGATAGATTTTTGTATAATGCTTTCCAGTAAAGATTTTCTTAAAAAAAAAACTTCAAACATATGCGGTTGTAATTTGAGAACAATTTGTTTGGCTTGCCAGTGTTACAGTAAGTTTAGATATTGTGAAAGGTCCGGGACCATATTTAATGAACGTAGTTTACTTACTCGCGCTCGCTAATAATAGCAAATATTTTTACCAAATATTACCATGGTTTATCCATTCGGGGCGTGTTATAGCATATTTGTGTTATGTAAGTGCCATAACAAAAGTAACGAAAGTCTCGAAAATAACAAAAGGAAAATAATTAGAAAAGAAAATTCTAATAGTATAACGCGGCCGCGTTGTAAGAAAGAAAACACAAGTTTTAAACCACACTTAAATTTATTCAACATAAAAATTAAATAATTAAAACTCGGTTCTGATTGTTTGTCAATTTACATCCCCAAATTAAAATAAAATCAAAAGAGAAATGAATTATTTATCCCAAAATTTCTGGGTTCTCAATAAATTGGAAATAAATTAAGAGAAATTGAATGATAGATTGTTTGATGTGAAAATTGCAAATAGGTTTTGATTGGATTGACAGGAATTGGTAGTCGTACTTCTCTCACTAGTACAAGCAGGTAAATTATAAAATGTTATAGTTGTTCAAGTTAATAAGACAGAAATTCGTACTGAACTCAACGGCCTAATAATTATAAATAAGTGGCAGGGATACAACGTCCTAAACTGCCGGTCTGCATTCGAATTAATGGATTAAAACTTTTTAAATTTTGGAGAGAGGTCCTAAACAATTGAAATAATTAGAATAATTATTATAAATTGTTTGAATAAAATCAAAGATATTTAATAATTCATTTACAAATACAAATGATAATTCCAGGGAAGGGGGAGTTACCAGAACGTTGATGAAATATGTGTTAATTAATTGAGATGCACGAATTAATTAAATTATTGACTAATTACGTAATATGAGTAAATCCTAAACTTACGTTTTTTATGATTTGGGCACTTTCACTAAGAAAATTGAAAATTTTGACGAATGCGAAATTACGTCTTGATTCTGCAAGCGATCCGATTGAAGTTCCCAAAAATTCCCCAAGTCGTTCTTACACCCCTCAACAGCTTCTCTCTGGTGCTACCTTTAACGCGAATTTCGCCCTAATACAAACTTAGCTTAAGAACTTGGCCCGCTCTACGCTCCCACTTCTCTAAAGCTTGGACAAATCACGACTTTGTTAATCGCTAAATTTAAACAATTAAAAGAAACCAAGTTCTGTTTACAACCAAAAAGATGAACTTATTATTTAAGCTAATTAAAATTACATAAACTGACTTTTGGCAAAGACGTTGCTGATCAGTTGGCGACAATAATTTGCAACGATTTAAATTTATTACAAAATTTGAAACAGGTCTTCTTGAACTACCTTAAATTAATACATCTGTAGACCTATAAATTATAATTAGAAAGATAACTACTGATTCGTTAACTTTTTAATCAGTTTTGTATCAAGAAGTTTGTCAATAACTGGAAATGAGAAATTGCCATGCAAGATAGATTATTAAAGAATTTGAAAGTGAGAGAGATATTGTCCTATTGTACAAACAATTCTAACTACTTAAATTAATTAAGTTTAAAATTGCGCCCCAAAGTGTCAAATTTACAACTTGTTTCCCCTCATTGCCTTTCTAATCTTATCAAAAATTAAGTAATACAATTTTAAACACAATTTACACGGGACAATTTGTGCATTTCGAAGAAATACCCTCTTGAAGACGTAACGAATTTAGGTTTTAAAATTTCTAAAGAGATGACCAGATGTTTTATAACTTTATTGCGACCCTACACCTTTTAAGAGAGTTGATACTGTAACTCGTGGGAACGCAAATTCATTTTTAAATACAGAAAAAAAAAATACGCTACTCATTTTTTGTTAGGTTGTTGTTTTCTTTACTGGTTGTATTTTTTACTTTTAGGTAATATAAAATAAGTAAAATCACTGTTTTCCCGGCGCATCCACCAAAAATATTTACAGAGTTAACTAATTTTAAATTTCAAAGAAATATTGTTATTTGGTCACAAAAACAACGTTTGTAATTTGCTGAATTTAATGTAACTTTAAATTGAATAACTGATGCATGTTTCGAGTAATGCAATCTGAAAATCTAGAAACTAAATGAATAAACACATGTTTTTTTTTAATGATAAAGGTATTAAACTGTAAAAAAATTACGATTCAAAACGTTAGTCACAATTTTCTGCTGTAGCACCATTAATGATCATATCGTAGGCTCCCTGTAAACACATTTTGTAGAATTTAGTAGCCTTTTGTGCTGAAAACTTACAGCAACTTTTGCACTTTCTTTCAAGTGTTGTTGTGCGTAAATCTTATTTACAATAATGTCTTTTCCATCCCGACTGATAAATATGACTTTGTTGTCAACCAAAACTAATGGACCTCTTCCCATGATTGTGGCCATTATTCCAAATTGCGGTTTTTCCCCTAAAATTACATGACATAAATTATTTTACAACTAACTCTAGGTTCAACCTTGCAAATTCATGTTTGTGACAATCACATCGTTGTCTTTGGTTGTAAATATGAGATTATCTTTGACGGCCAAATCTTTAACCGGATTTGCCACATTGATCGACCCATAGAACATCCCGCTGTTCATGTACATCCTCACCTAAAAATACCTCACTAAGCTACTTTTAGCAAATGTGTATGTTCAGTACGTTGCCTTGGTCGTCGCCAATATACAAGATTCCTTTATCGTATTTAACCTTTCAGAATTCGACTTCTTTGTCTTCAAGAAAAACTTTTTTCTTTCTGAGAGTGTCGAGTTCCCAACTTTTGACCGTACCATCGTTTGAACAAGAGTAAATAGCATTATCGTCAGCTGTAATTGAAAAAATAGAGCATGGATGAGCTTGCACTTCTTTGAGAAACTTCAAATCAGGAGCCCACATCTAAAAAATATTTGTTTAAATTTTTTCTAATTATTTTTTGGTTTCCTTACTTTGATCTTGCCATCATCACCAGCAGAGTAGAGTTTCCCTTTATGGTAGATTAATTGATTGACATCAAATTCGTGTTTGTCAACGTCGTCGGCTCGAGTTGCAACGTGGAAAGGCATTTTCTGAAAATTGTTTTGAAAATAAATTTACTATTTTTAGATGTTTATTTAATCAGAAAAAAATTAAACACTCTAAGAAATCTGGAAATGGTTTATTTGGAGTATGTAAATAAAATTATTTTCGAATTATTGAAACTCAGCGATTGAGTTATTTCATAAACAATTCATAAAGAACAAATGTAAAAATAGACAGTTTCAAGTAGAAAACATTATTTTGAAAATTTGTCTGAAACTAACAAATTTTGCAATAACATACATTAAATTAAAAATTGCATAAAATATCGTCAAATTTAGAAACACTTTTAACCTATCTAGAAAATTCCAAAATGTACACAACTTTTTTCTCTGTAAATTAATAAAAAAGAACAGTAAGTAGGGAAACAATAAAACTTACAATATTGTTCAACGACCACACACACTCTTTCAGTAGGGACTTGAGGCCTAGTTGACTTCACTTCAAACTCTACCTTAGTTTTATACTTACTTCAAGATTAATATAGACTGCGTGCTGCGTTTGTCTATTTTTAAACATTTAATACCAGTGCTAATCAAAATGCTAAGTCTGAATATCCTAACTTACTGAAATTCTGTTTGTCAAAGAGTAAGTCTTTTATATAACTTTTAACGCATTTTGAAAACAAAACATTGTTAATTAAATAATAATTTTTGTACAGACACAAAATTCTTGTAATTATTTAAATTTTGATTTATTAGACTTTTATTTACTTAGAATGTTTTTATAAAAATATGAAAAAGTACTTATAGCACAATTATATGTATTTTTCTAAATGCCAGGTAATAAAAAATAAGAAACATTTCTTATTCTAAAAGAAATATTAATTACATATTTAACTAAAAAATTCTAGAATAGTATTTATTAGATCTGCTATTCTAAATTTATCAATGTTACTCTTACATATGCAACCAAATATATACGAGTACCTTCTAATAAAAAACCGTGTGTTCTTAATTTCTTAAACATTGAGGAGCTATATTTAACACTTCCATAGCTATTTTGTGAATAATTGTTAACGTCAGGATGAAAAAATTCATGTAACTACAAATTATTCTTGCCTTTCTTCTTCTTTTTCTGAGCATTAGGACAAGGAAGTCTTCTTGATTTTAATAAATAATCTTAAACATTGTGACAAACTGTGTATGCATTTTCCATTGGTGCTTTTATGAAAATATCCATTGCACACGTTGACTCTTCGATGTTCTACTTTTTCGACCCACTTTTTTTCGTCTTGGGAGTTTTCTTTGCCATTTTTTGATTCACTCTTCTTTTTTTTGCCTTTGCTATCCATAATATGCATCTTTAATAATCAATTTTTCATTTTATCAAATTGCATTAGATATGATCGTCATAAATTTCTACGAGAAAATAATTTTTTTTCCAAAGTTGCAACCGCTCTACTTTTGTTAAATGCTTGAAATACACATTTAGAGCTTCGGTGGGAGCATTCCGATTTAGACAATCAAGCATCAGTTATTCTACAGACTGTTTCAGCATAATGGAAAAAGTACCAAAAATCGGTATCGATTTGGGTATCACTTCTTTGTGTGTGGATGTGTGGCAGCACGGCAAAGTGGAAAAAAACGCTAATAAATCTTGAAACTTGTATAAAATTTACTAAAGAAAAGAGCAAAAAATATAATACTATAATATAATTCTATTTTTTTGTTTAGTTGTTGTTTTCTTTACTTTTAGTATTTTTTACTTTTAAGTAATATAAAACAAATAAACATCACTTTGTTATCCCGGCGCATCCACCAAAAATATTTGCAAAAGTTTAGAAATTTTAAATGTTAAAGATTACAATTACGACAAGAAAATAATAATATTAAATTTTGTTATTTAACCAAGTACAACATTCGTAATTTAATAAATTTAAAATTCCACTATCTAATGCATGTTTCAAGTAATGAAATCGAAAATCTAGAAAATAAATGAAGTTTATTTTTTTAGATTATACGATGCCAAAAGGACTGGTTAAAACTGTACAACATTTACCGAAACAGCACGGAGAAAATCGTAGGACAGTATTGTAAAATGACGGATCTAAAGATAGTTCTGCATGCGGATTTGGCACTTGTTTTTAGGCAATATTTCGTTAATTTTTAATTTAATTATAAACAGAAAATATTACTCAGTGTTTCATTTACCATCACAAACATTACACTTTTTACAAAAACTCAATCCACTTATAAGTTAATTAAATTTTATTCAGTAATATAACTACAAAAAAGGCATATAAAATACTAAAAAATTGCAAAAACAACATCAAGGTTAATAATACAAAAATTTAAAGATCGAGACGAGCAATATGGCCGTCACCTCCAGCAGCATATATTTGATCTTTATCACCACAAACCAATGTGTTGACCATGAAATCAATATTGCAGAAATTATCACCTTTAAGAGAATCATTTGCGACTCTCCACTGCTTTATTACCCTATCCCAACCTGCTGTAAATAACCATGCTTTACCATCCCAATTTACTGCAGTAGCACCATTGATAATCATATTGTGGGCTCCCTGTAAACAAATTTTGTGGAATTTGGTAATCTAGTCTAAAAACTTACAGTAACTTTTGCAATTTCTTTCAAGTTGTGTTGTTCGTGAATTTTATTGACAATAATGTCTTTTCCATCTCGACTCATAAAAATGACTTTGTTGTCAACTATTGCTAATGGACCTCTTCCCATGATTGTGGCCATTATTCCAAATTGTGGTCGTTCCCCTAAAATTACATTTTGACAAATTATTTTACAATTAACTGCAAGTTAAACCTTGTAAATTCATGTCTGTGACAATCACATCGTTGTCTTTGGTTGCAAATATGAGATTATCTTTGACGGCCAAGTCTTTAACCGGATTTGCCACATTAATCGTCCCATAGAACATCCCGCTGTTTAAGTACATTCTCACCTAAAAATATCTCACTAAGCTACTTTTAACAAATTCCTACGTTCAGTACATTGCCTTGATCGTCGCCAATATACAAGATTCCTTTATCGTATTTAACCTTCCAGAATTCGAGTTCTTTGTCTTCAAGAAAAACTTTTTTATTTCTGAGTGTTTCGAGTTCCCAACTTTTGACTGTACCATCGTTTGAACAAGAATAAATAGTATTATCGTCAGCTGTAATTGAAAAAATAGAGCATGGATGAGCTTGCACTTCTTTGAGAAACTTTAAATCGGGCGCCCACATCTAAAAAATATTTGTTTAGATTTTTCCAATTACTCTTGAATTTTTTTTACTTTGATCTTGCCATCGTCACCAGCAGAATAGAGTTTCCCTTTATGGTAAATTAACTGATTGACATCAAATTCGTGTTTGTCGACGTCATCGGCTCGAGTAGCAACATGGAAAGGCATTTTCTGAAGATTGTTTTGAAAATAAATAAATTATTTGATCAGAAAAAAATAAAGCAGTCAAAAGAAACTGGAAATAGTTTTGGAGTATATAAATAAAATTATTTTAGAAGTAAGGAAGCTCAGTGATGAAGTTATCTCATAAACAATAAAAATTTTAACAATATACAAAAATAAAAACACTTCAAACATGTCTCAAAAATTTCGAAATGTAGGCAGATTTTCAACTTTCTTCTACGTAAATTAATAAAAAAACAATAGATACATAATAGTTATTTATGAATCAATAGCATAATAAGGAAATTATGGCTCGAGGGAATGTTTAAAAGCCGACGTTATTATTAATTTCCTGAGGACCATAATTGACAATTATGCCTGTGGTACATACAATGTTTTATATTTATTTTGGATTGCGTTTTGCTTCTCCCAAATAAGAATTTAATTTTTCCAGCAAATTTTGTGTAATATTAGAGATAAAAAATAGTTGCCTATTAAATTCAATTTATGTCCGCTTTTGGGTACTTAGAAACAAGTTTATAGTTCCAAAATAAAATAAAAACACTTACAATATTGTTCAGTGACCACACACACTCTTTCAGTACTTGAGGCTTTGTTGACTTCACTTCGAACTTTACCTTAGTTTTATAGTCACTCCAAGATTAATATAGACTGTGTACTGCGTTTTTCTATTTTTAAACATTTAGTACCAGTGCAAAAACAAATACTTAGTCTAAATATCCTAACTAACTGAAATTCTGTTTGTTAAAGAGTAATTGTTTTTTGTACAGGGTGGTTCTGTTTTTGCCGGCGAAAATTTATAAATAGTTAGAACACGTAGAAATAATGTGGGTTTGCCCTATAAACAATTGTTAAAAATGCTTCTTTACCAGTGTGCCAAAATTTGTTTCAATTTTTTGTTAATGGATACAGCTACAAGTGTTCTAACTGTCCCTAAATTTTTGCCGGTAAAAACGGAACCACCCTGTATAATTTTAATTGCATTTTAGAAGTAAAAAATTTAAATTATTTTTGAACAGATACAACTTCATTTGAGAAAGAGTGTAGGTACTTTGTGTTTATGTGTTTATTTATTATTTAAACAACGTAAATGTTTAGTAGTTATTTAGGTATATTGTCTCAAAGTAATAAACAACTATCTATTTTAATCTCCTGAATCTAGACAATGGGCATTTTCGTTCGAGAGGTTAACGATATTTGTTTCAGAAATGCATACAAAAGCTTTCCTCCCACAAACTAAACTAATAATAACATAAAAAAATGATAAGTCTGTCAAATAATGTCAAATAATTTGCAAAATATTAATTCATCCAATTGCAATTTTAAAAGAAAAATTCGGTATCACCGTTGGTTTGCGTCACAAACACTAAAAAGATTCAATTCATTTAATTCCAGTTAATTTTAAGAGTAAAAGACCGCACTTCATTTACTTTATTTTCGAGGTAGTAAAATACCAGATTACTAGTCAGAAACAAGGGAATAAAGCGTCACTTTACTGTTGTGAGAAAAGACTTTTATTTTCACCTTTAAAAAATTGTAGGTGTAAATAACAATGCCAACATATTAATTTCAATCTAAAATCTAGGATTTATATAACCCATCGATATTAATTACAGAAGACAAAAAATTGTATTTAACACCAACTACAATTTTGAAACAATATTAATCTAAAATAAAAAACAACTTGTCCATAAGTAGTGATTTTATTAATCTACTGTAGTAACAAATACATAAATACAAATAAAAAGCATTGTTCTTTACTGTTTTTATAAAATTTTTACAGAACAAAAGTCTTCTAAGTATTTAGTTTTTGATTTAGACTCTTATTTACTTAGTCTGCAGAAATATTAAAAAATAAACTAGATACCTATAGCATAATTATATTTTTATAACACACCGTGCAAATTAATAAAAAATAGGAAACATTTCTTATTCTAAAAGGAATAATGATTAAGTAGTTAATCACGTACTTATCTAAAAAAAAATTAGAATGTTGTTGATTAGAACTGCTATTCTAAATTTATCAAACCTATTCTTACATATGCAACCAAACATATACCTACTAAAAAACAAACCTTGTGTTCTTGAACTTTGAAAAATTTGAGGAGCTATATTTAACACTCCCGTAGCTATTTTGTGTACAATTTTTAAAACAATAACATGATACGATGAAAAAACTACAAATTATTACTTCTTGCCCTTCTTCTTCTTTTTCTGAGCATCAGGCCAAGGAAATCCTCTTGATTTTAATAAATCTTGAACATTGTGACAGACTGTGTATGCATTTTCCATTGCTGCTTCTGTGAAAATATCCACTGTACACCTTGAACTCTTCGATCTTCCACCTTTCCGACCTCCTTTTTTCGCCTTAGGAGCTTTCTTTTTTTCGCCATTTTTCGCTTTACCCTTCTTCTTTTTGCCTTTGCCACCCATAATACACAATTACAAATTAAATTTTGTCAGTTGCATGTGAATACAATACTGAAATTAGATTTTATATCGATCAAACGTTGCCATAGTGTTTCTTTGAAAGAGGATAAAAATTAACGAATTTTGGTTCCTTTAGCATTCAAATTTAATGCATCCAAGCAAAATAAATAACAACTGTTTGTATTACGTCAGTTAAACAAATTTAATTTAGGAACATTTTATGGCTCTCTTAATCAATCGCCTTGGCTTATTGTGTATCTTTAACAATCAATATTTCATTTTATCAAATTGCGCTAAATATGATCATCATAAATTTCCACGAGAAAATAAATTTTGTGCCAAAGTTGCAGCCGCCCTACTTTCGTCAAATTCTTGAAATACACATTTAGAGCATCGGCGCTTCGGTGGGAGCATTCCGATTCAGACAGTCAAGCATCAGTTGTAGTTTTACAGACCGTTTCAGCACCATGGGAAAAGTACCAGGAATTGGTATCGATTTAGGTACCACTTATTCGTGTGTGGGGGTGTGGCAGCATGGCAAAGTGGAAATCATCGCCAACGACCAAGGTAACAGAACCACCCCCAGCTATGTGGCCTTCACCGACACCGAGAGGCTCATCGGAGACGCTGCAAAAAGTCAGGTATTTTTCCCTAACTTATGAATCAGATCATATTTTTGGACAAACTCAAAATTTTCTAGTAGCTGGATTAGGGCCAGATTTTTTATAAATGCTTTTGAATGAATGGTAAAAATTTTGTTAAAAACATTTGAAACATGTGCAGTTGTAACATGAGAACAATTTGGTTTCCGAGTGAGTAAGTTTAGATATTGAGAAAGGTCGGGGACCATATTTGGTGAACGGAGTTTACCTACTCGCGCGCACTAATATGACACATATTTTTACCAAATATGATGATGGTAGAAGGTCTTAACCATTCGGAACGTATTAACGACTCAACTTAGCATATTTGTGTTATGTAAGTGTAGATGCCATAAAAGAAGTAATAGAAACAGTTTTTAAATTGTTGTATTAGTGTTACATTTTAAAGAACGAGCAAAAACGCTAATAAATCTTGAAACATGTACATACAAAATGTACTACGGAAAAGACAAAAAAGATAAAAAACGCAACTAAAACGTATTTTTATTAAAAAAATTCTATTTGTAATTTCCATTTATAATGTAACTATATGTATAATCGTTATAATTACCAAAGTGTGGTCTCAGTATTTATAAATAGGTTATAAGTGAGAAAAACTGATTTTACAATACATTTGTTAATAATAATAATTAAATATTATTATTTTGCTCTATTAGAACATTTTGTATTTTTCGACTTTTAAATGTTTTCTTACATCATACGTTTGTATACGAGGTTACGCATCTGTTAAAATTTGCTACTATAAATATACAAATATTGTCTCATATATTATTTTCTTTAACAAATATAAAATAAAACTTATATTAAAAATATTTATACAAGGTGTTCGGTTTTTATTGTTACAAATTTAAACAGGTGATAAAATATTCAATTTTAAGACAAAAGTTTCCTATGAACATATATCAAAAAATGTTTTGTAAGCGAGCTACACCCCCTGAAAAAGACGCGTTTTTTAATGGAGTTTTCCCCCTAATGAAGAATAGATAAAATTACAAGTTGGTACAGCTGAAAGCCTTTAAACACCTGAACGAATTCAAAGCTTAGTTGTCGAAATTTTTAATCACGGGCGTCTCAAACAGTAAAATTTTTAATTTTTATCCTCTTTATGGTCTGTAAAACAAATTGTAAACTAATTTTACTCAAAAACTGTATGTTGTATCGAAAAAACGCAAAAGACCTTTTTTTGTAAAAAAATATGGAAAGTAGAATTTCTAGAAAATTTAAAGTATGTACATACCTACTATTAATTGAAAAAAAAAACACATTTATTTTTATAAGATAAAAAGGTTTTTTACTACTGTGATATATTTACAAGAGATATATGACTACATTACATTATTGTTTACAATAAAGTCTCTGAAATTGTTTGTTCTACTTTTCCACCTAAATATATTTTTTATTGATGAAAAAATGCTTATATTTTTATGTGCCAACTTTCATGTAATTTTTTTTAATTTTAAAGTAATTATTTTAGGCAGTTAAGCTGAACGGTTACAAAGAGTAAAATTTAGCAATCATTCTTTAGGAATAATTTATAAATTCCATGTCAATTTGTTTATTAAAAAAATGCATGTAAATGTATTCTTAAGCAATATTGTTAATTTAACAATACAAAGATACGTCTTAAGAAAGATTGGAAAAAGAGCGTTAGTATTGAGGGATAGCAAGTAGATTTATTTCTAAATTGCCTTCCTGTTTATAAAGTAAGTCACAAACAAGTTAATAAAACAATTAAGCTAATAATAGATATAAAAATATTACTATAATTACTAGAAGTATTATACTGAAAAAAAAATAAAAATATTGTGTAAAGAAACACAATATCTTTTAGGTATTTTTTAAAGTTGATAAAACATTCTTTTTTCTTACTCAAAAACAGAATGAAATTTATTTCTGTGACAGCTTAATCACTAATTATTCTAGAAGTTCTCGATTCCCATCCTATTTAAAGCTTGATACTCCTAAATATAAATAAGCACACAAATCCTCTACCCACTCATGTCTTGGCCCGACATCAAAAAATAATTTCATCAAAATCATAATCCAGATTAAACTCAACACTGAAAAGTCCACTTCCTGCAATAAAAATTCTAGGTTGCGATGAATCCCAAAAACACAGTTTTCGATGCCAAACGATTAATCGGACGCAAATTTGATGACACAAAAATCCAAGAAGACATGAAACATTGGCCATTTACTGTGATCAACGATGGTGGCAAACCGAAAATCCAAGTTGAGTACAAAGGCGAAATAAAGAAGTTTGCTCCGGAAGAAATCAGTTCGATGGTTTTGACCAAAATGAAAGAAATCGCAGAGACGTACTTGGGAGATAAAGTCAACGATGCTGTTATCACCGTTCCGGCGTATTTCAACGATTCGCAAAGACAGGCCACTAAGGACGCTGGGGCTATAGCAGGATTGAACGTTTTGAGGATCATTAACGAACCAACAGCTGCTGCTTTGGCTTACGGTCTTGATAAAAATTTGAAAGGGGAGAAAAACGTTTTGATTTTTGATCTCGGGGGTGGCACTTTTGACGTATCTATCTTATCTATAGATGAAGGTTCGTTGTTTGAAGTCAAATCGACGGCTGGGGACACTCATTTAGGGGGCGAAGATTTCGATAATCGTTTAGTCAACCATTTCATACAAGAATTTAAAAGAAAGCATCACAAGGATTTGAGTAACAATACTAGAGCAGTGCGTCGCTTGCGAACTGCGTGTGAAAGAGCTAAAAGAACCTTGTCATCAAGTGCTGAAGCTAGCATTGAAATTGATGCCCTCCACGAAGGAATTGATTTTTACTCCAAAGTCAGCAGAGCTCGTTTTGAAGAGATGTGTATGGATTATTTCAGATCGACTCTTCAGCCGGTCGAAAGAGCTTTAGCTGATGCCAAATTAGACAAAGGTGCAATTCACGATATTGTCTTAGTTGGTGGTTCCACACGTATCCCAAAAATTCAAAAAATGCTACAAGATTTCTTCTGCGGAAAACCACTCAATCTTTCAATCAATCCTGACGAAGCTGTAGCTTATGGTGCAGCTGTCCAAGCTGCAATTTTAACAGGAGACACCAGTTCGCAAATTCAGGATGTTTTATTAGTCGATGTTGCTCCACTATCTTTGGGAATTGAAACTGCAGGTGGTGTTATGACCAAGATTGTTGAGAGAAATTCGAGAATTCCTTGTAAACAGCAACAAACCTTCACTACTTACTCTGATAATCAAAATGCTGTCACTATTCAGGTATTTTTGCACTTTTTGTAGATTCTTTTTAATGTTTGTGATAGGTTTTTGAAGGAGAACGTGCTATGACTAAGGATAACAACCTTTTGGGCACTTTTAATCTAACCGGAATTCCTCCAGCACCTCGAGGAGTCCCTAAAATCGAAGTAACTTTTGACTTGGATGCTAATGGTATCCTCAACGTCTCAGCTAAAGACACAAGTACCGGAAAATCCGAACGAATTACAATCACTAATGATAAAGGTCGGTTATCTAAAGCCGACATTGATAAAATGTTAGCAGAAGCAGAGAAATACAAAGCTGAAGATGATAAACAAAAGGAACGAATTGCTGCTAGAAATCAACTCGAAGGTTACATATTTAGTGTCAAACAAGTGAGTTGTTTAAAATGTTATTTCTAACTCGGTAATGGTTTTATTTAGGCCGGTGAAGACGCTCCTGCTGATAAACTAACAGAAGATGAGAAGAAAACCATCAGAGAGAAATGTTCAGCAGCTTTGAGTTGGTTGGATTCGAACCAGTTAGCCGAGAAAGAAGAATTTGAAGATAAATTAAAAGAATTGCAAAAAGATTGCTCCCCGATTATGATGAAACTGCATCAAGGAGCTCAAGGAGGTGCAGCTCCTGGGGGAAAAGGACCCACAGTTGAAGAAGTTGACTAATTCTACTAACATTTGCTTCCGATTTGCATTTATGGCTTTAGCTCCGTTTGGTTAAAATGTTAATAAATAAACTTTGCAAAATATTTTTATCGTATTATTTATAACTACGACTATATCTGTTAAAATAAAAAGTTTAAACTATTCGCGCTAATTATCTGTTTCTTATCACGTAACTTGTTTTAAGTATTTTGTGTTAATTTTAAGTATATTCGGTGTTTTGAAAACAATAGTATGAATAATAAAAAACTACCTACTTATATCATTTTACTGCTTGAATGTAATATGCGAACATGAAGGAAAAAGGTGTTTGAAACATTCTGTGAATATTTTGAAGCAGGTAAGTTGGCAGTTTCCACATTTCTGTAAAAAATTATTTGCCTTTAGTTGGCAAAATGGTAATTATAAGCAAACCACTGTTCTACGAGAAATTGGAACCTACAATAAAGTGCAGAGATTTAGTACATCCAGATATTAGCAGTTGTACTAAAGCAAATCTCAAACTATGTTTGGAGGCTTTTCTACCAGGAGTATTTTATTTCTATTTACCCATTCATTTGGTAACTGTACCAATACAACGTATGTAAAACATAACACATTATTTTCAGCTGCAAGTAATTCTTGATTATAAGAAAATCAACAGGAAAAATTTTTTGAAAAATTTGCTAAAGAATATTTTAAGGTCTGAAAGTTTTGGTGTAACTTTTGGTGGATTAGCAATCGCTACAATCTGTCTGCATAGGTAATTAAGAATGCAAAACCAAAAACACAATCTGATTAAAAAAACACACAGTCATCTTTCAGAACGACTTCGTTATTACACTTTATTACTACTGCCAGGTATAGTAGCAGGAATTTCTATACGATGGGAACACCCTAGAAACCGACAATTAAACACGATTCTTTGGGCCAGTTTGGTAAATAATTCCGCTCCTCAAAAATTAATTCACTTGATATATTTTAGGTTGTTGAAGCACTATTCAAAAATGCTTACTATTTCAAAATCTTCACTTACTCCCCAATAAAAGAAACACTTATTTTTATGCTTGTCAGTTCTTCCCTAATGCATTTATTTATAAACAGAGATAAGAAACAAATTCCGTTCAATCTTTGGTGCGACACAATATTTTTTTTATTTTAATTAAAGCGTTTTTTCAGGTTTTATAAACCTTCTGACCCAAAAAAATACAAGTTCACTCTCTACAATTACTTTAGAGTACGTGTTAAATAAACACAATTGTATATTCTGTATTAGTGGTATTATTTTAGGAAATATCAAAATATTTTGGATTTGGATATGGATTAAATAGTATTAGATGTGTCTTGAAAGATGCCAAAATGATGTTTAAGAGCCCTCTACAATTTATTAGAAAGACGGCTTTCAATAGAAGTAATCTTAAATTTGGAATTATTATTGGGCTTTATGTAGGTTTATTTAGGGTAAGGCATTATTTTAAATTTTTATTGTATAAAAATTTTTCAATTCTTTCTTTCAGGGAGTTTCAGTCTTACTTCAAAAATATAGTAACTTGGAAAAAGCAAATGCTGCAATTGCAGGACTTGTAGCGGGAATATCTTATTACATAGAACCAAATATGACTATTTTGACTACTGCTGTGGTAACCGTTTTACAAGTCAGTATGAAGGAAGAATGTACAGGGTGTTTCACATAATTTTACGAGGCCTGCGCCTGTAGTATGCAATTAATAATACATATTCCGATACGAACTCGATTACAAATTTTGAAAAATTGGATAATCTTCTCTAGTTTGTTGACCCTTTAAAAACTTACAACGTACAACTGGAGTTTATGAGACTATTAATGAAACAGTAATTAGTTTGACAACTACAGTCATGGGTTTCCAAAAATTAAATAATTAAATGTGTATTTTTTGTATCCAGTGTTTTGTGACTTTTGTACATTTGGGTGCGTACATTAGGTGCAAGCCTCGTAAAGTTGTGTGAAACACCCTGTATATGAATAGATCACATTTTGAATATCGTTTCAGATATTATGTAAACAAATTTCAACCATTCCAGAGTTTAGAAAAATTCCATTCACTGAATTAGTTTTTATGTTCTGTAATGGAATTCTTTTTTTTAATAGAATTGTAGCTCCAGTTACGTGTCCAAAATATTACACGAATATGCTTCAAATTACTGCAAATGGAGAGTAAGTTGTTTAATAAAATCCGTATTACAAAAAATATTTTACAAATTTTTAGACTAGAAAAAATTTATATTAGACTAGTGAATAAATATTTGCCGTAGAATAAAATGGTAATAAACTCAAGCAGGATGCAAATTAGTTAATTTTTACCTTATTTCGACACCAATATCTCTAAGCATAATTTTGTATTTTCTTTACCTTTCTTTTGTAAACATAAAAAAAAGAATTGTTTAAAAAAAAAATGTTTTAAATAATTTATAAAATGCGGAACAATTTCGAAATTACGATAAGTAGGTGAGTTCGTTCTTACAAAACTGACCTACCTTTTATCCCAGGAAGAATAAAAAGCAGTTCTTGTTATCTGAAATAATAAACATCCCCAGCCCCACTTCCCGTTTCCATAGCAATAGTAAAAAACAAAGTTTGTTTATTTGCGTTTTCGGAAAAGTGCAACGTGTCATAGTTTCCGAGTTTTCAAAAAAATTATTTTAACAGTTTTTCTCAATGGAAACCGGTGAGGAAATGTTCGCTAAGCGATACACCAACAAGGAAGTAAGTTTTTCACACAATCACTACGTTAAATTCCACTATCACATAACCTCCAATTTAGCAAGCATGCGAAGACCTAACCAGAACCAACATCGTCATAAATGTACGTTCTCAGCCGAAAAAAGAACTGTACCACTTGCTACAACCATATCCGAAAGTCGGTTGTAACCAGAAACCATGCGACGAACCCATTGATTTGACCCAGAATGCCAAACGAACCATCAAGACAGAAAAACCAGATACACCAACGAAAATTTATATTAAATCACGAGGACGCCGTTCGAGGATATACACTCATAATAACGTGAGGAAATTTCAATTTTGGCTGAAAACGGTACCATGATGCGTTTTTGTAGGTTCCCGACCAGAACCAGCTTCAAGGGTTCTTCACGGATATTATAGAACTGCAAGCGACTGAAACCAAACAAGCTGAAATTCTCAAAGCTGCCAAATCGCTATTTTCGAAGAGGACCAGAACTCTGTACCATTGGATGTACCCAAATACACCTAAACAACAAATTAAGATGGCCGTTGCAAACTCTTGGGATAATTTAGGGGTGCAGGAAAAGCAGTTTTACATATCCCAAGTGTTGGTCAGATTTGGATTTCCACAATGCAACTTGATGGTAAATCCCCAATTAGGTGGGATTAAAGAATTACCTCCTTTGCCTGATTCTATGGATGGCAATAATTACTCAGCTAAGGAACTACAAACTGCGATTTCCAGTATTTCAAATTCGGAAGCAAGCACGTCAAATAGTGAAAAAAGGCGTCAAGGGAGGCCTCCTGGAAGCAAAAATAAGAAGAACAAGAACGAATTGCTTACATATAAACTCACCAAAGACTTTCAGGATGATCCTGAATTGAGCAAAGAACTGGAAAAGTTTGCAGTTTCTTTCGACTGTTTCAAATAAATAATAATTTCATGTTACTTCTATGTTTAAGCCAATTTGTTCGTGTTTTTTGTATTTTTGATAAATAAAAGTCGAATTATGTTTTACAAAATTTATTTCAATGGATTACGCTTACAAGTTACAAACTTAAATATTTATTTATTCACAACGTGTTACGCAACAAGGGAATAATGAAAAAATAAAAATACTGGCACTAGATGAAGTTGTAGTAAGTAGAGAAAGGTAATTGAAACAAGTCGAGTGAAAGTAAAATTAAATTTACACATGAGCGTAAAGATAATTTCTAAGGAAAATAAATTAATTTTTCATTACATAACGAAAATGTCAACGAAAGAAATGTTGTGGTAGCAAGGTAATAGTCAACAAATTGTACCCACCGTTCCGTTTCCGAAATCAGGTACAAATTTTCTCTCGCTTTAAAACTTATTACATAAAATTTTTATAAAAAGTGGCTTTTCTAAATCTAATTCCTTGGTCTGTTTTTGTCCGGTACGGGAATAGCACCGGGGGGTAAATTAAAATTGTGTTGCTTATTTTTTGGGTTGTTTTGCGGAATATTGCTATCATCGTCCTCTTCTGGAGGAGGTGGGGGGATAGTACTTGGAATGTCACAGTCTTCAGTAGGAGGAACAACACATCTCAATGATCTGCGATCGAAGACCAACATAGCAGGGCATCTTTGCAGACGAGGATATCCTCCTTGGCATTGCCAATATCTATTACACGATTTGCCCAATGGGACATTACCGTTAGGGTCATCATTGCAGAGAGCTACAAACTAAATCAAGAAATGTTTTTCATAAAATTAGTTAAACTTACGGTGTTTCTGGCAACCGTCTACATTTTCGGGCCAGTCGCACGAATGAGTCTTTTCGTTGTACAAAAGTCCACCAATGCAAAGTTGTTCAGTGGCAGTGCCATTCCAGCACGTCCAATATCTCGTACAAGAAGTTTCATGCCCGAAAATGCCATAAAGCCAGTCACAATGTTCGGTGGAAATCGGCGGGTTTGCTTGTTGTTTGTTGTCACAGTAGTTGGACCTCCATGGATAGTCACAACCTTCAGTCACTCCTCGATGCTTTCCAGCGAAAACTAGACCATTGGGACAGTCGTATAACTCTTGTTGACCGTTCACACATTCCCAGTATCTGTCACAATAAGTTTCATCTCCGACCACTTTCGATTTAAGTTTGCAGGGATCCTCTTGATTCCCTTTGAGCTGTTGGGCGCTCACATAGCCTAAAATGATCAAAGTTTAAAAGGAATGTAAACAATTTCTAATTTTCCCGTATAAGTCAAAGTTGAAAGTAAAAGTTCTTGTGTAATTTGGGTGGAGTGCAGTCACGAACTTGCGACCTTCCTATGTCTACCATAATCAAATGCTAGTTCCTACTCTCTCTGATATTTTCGTTAATTGTTGTGGTAATATATCTCTGTTACTGTACTTTGCATTTGAGAGATTTATTATAGGATATAAAAGTATGTTGTAACTACTTTGACAGACATAAACGTATCCAGATTTTTTAAAAACGACTTGTTTGATGAAGAAGACGACCTGAATTTTAAAGTCCTGCAGGGCATGCTGTGCACATAACGATGATCCTACTTTCTTTTTTGCAGAATCTCGATGTGTAAATGCGTTACATAAGTCTAAATAAATAAAATGTGTTACTTGATAACAAGAATTCTGATTTTGTAAATAACACAAACATTGATATTTGAAAGTTGATTTACAAAAATCAACCTAAATTCATGGACGTGATATATTAATCATGTCTTAATGGGAAAAATCTCATGAAATGCATTGATGTGCACATTGATTGCTAAAGGTGAGCCGGTCACATCACAAGGTGACGAAATTTTTAATCATTTCAATTTAAGACAAAATCAATTGATTTAAGCTGGCTGACTTTGAAAACAATTTTTTCAGACGACAGATTTCTCGAAAAACGTTCCTGAGTTTCGTCACATGTGAGAATAACATTTTCTTTATTGTTTGTAATAACACTGTTCTCCCAAGGAATTTTTACATAATTGTAAGGCTACACAATTCTATAAGCGTTTATGTAATAAATCATATTATCCGCCCTAGATGATTAAGCTGTGAAAACGGCACAATAGAAATAAAAAGGCAATAGCACACCTGTAAAACCCCTTCTAGAACCCCTTCTAAATGTATTTTGTAACTTTATCTTTACAGTGCAGAAAAATTACATTAAATATCAACCGATAAAAATTAATTTTAGATAGATATATCAAAATCTTCAAGACGAAGCTGTAACTCTTGCGACAAAATTATTTGTTATTCAGTAGGTACATTTAGGTAATAAAACAATTAAAAATAAATACTAATAAATTTCTTGCATTCCAATGATATAAAAAGTGCAATTTAAATACATATAAATTCTTATTAAGTGGCTTTTAAAATGTTTGACCAATTTGTTAACTAATTTATACCCATTTCTTGTAATATTTTGCAATTTGCTGATTCGCTGCTTATCATAATTAATATGCTCTTTTACATAATTCAATTTGGAAATGGTCACACTTTAACCTTTTGGTGTCAGTCATCAGCTCGTTTTTCCTTAATTTACATAAATATTTTTGCTACATTTTCGCAACTTTTCACACAACTGCATGAATTATTTTAAAAGATTGCGGTTAACGTTCTTATGACTCAACAATTCAACTGTACATTCTAAATGTAAATGTGGTATTTCCTTCAATACATTATTCTAAACACATGCTGAAAACGTTCTTTTCATCTCAATTTGTACATCACTAGCCCAAAATTCTTCAAGTGATGGTGATAACAATCGTTGCTTCAAGAGATATCTTTCTAATAGGCCAATTATGTACTCAATTCCAAATTGCAGGTTAGACAAACATCTAATTAAAAGTTGATAAGTCATTGTTATTGGGCAAGACCGATGCAAATAGAATAGCCGATTAAAATTCCAAACTAATGAATTCTAACGAAAGCATCTGGGCGGATTCCCTGAGAACACCATCCCAGTAAAAATGGTACACGTTACGTAAAGATCGCTCTTCAAGGCCAAAAAAGTCCTTTTACTTTTAGTTCCTTGTTGAAAATAATCTAAAAATCTTGTGGTCAACATATGACACTTGGTCTTGACCTACAAATGTTCTTTGTGTTTAGCAAATTGTAGAAACGGATGACCACTGAACCAGATCATGGTGGTGGTTGTTGAAAGTTCAGGGTCATACTGAATCTCGCTCTACTTTCTCTATTCATCCTGTGATAATCCACGAATCGAGATTACCTTCGAATGGGAATTGTTTCCCATCAAGGATTACTCCTACGCAGAAATTCAGCTTGCGAAATTGATGAGAAGCTGATTGTCTGGGAAAAAAATCCCAAATGGGCGATGGCTAAATGGCAACAGTCCAGACATTGTGAGAGCTCACTTTCTCTGGGTCACTTTCTCAATTCACATGCTACCAATAACAACTATTATTTGAAGATGGGACTCGATAAGTTGATACACTTTTCAGTTTTTGTATTATTTTCACTTTCGCTCAACTTGAAAAATTGACATGGTACGTACCCGTATTAACCTTAATGATTTTTCTCTCCAATACAGTAATGTATTTATTTTTAGTTTATTTCCGTGACTAATGCGAATGAAATTGTCCTTACCTAACAGTTTATGTAACCCATAATTTCAGTTTATGTCAGGTGGATTTATTTTTATATAAACATGGCTCATCCTAAATGAATAAAGAACATTACTCAACTGAATTAATTAAATAATTAATTGTCGACAGTTTTTATAAACTCTGTCATTTTTAAATGCATTGCATAAGGAGGAACTTTAAATATCAATATTTTTAACTTCCTTCTTTGATGTACCATTTGACATTTAGTGGTTACAGAAGTAAAAACAATAAAAGAGAAGTATTCTAATTTTAAATCTTATGCATTTCTTGGTGCACGTGAAAGTCAGTATAATCAATATTTTCTTATTCTTTGATCAACACTTGTGTTTGACAGAAAATTTGCAAAATGTTAATATAAATACTTTCTATTTATAGTGAAATGTGCAAATCCAAAATATTGATAAATAGAAAGCCTTAGGGAGCATCTGTTGCACCTATTTGTGGCGTTTATTATTCCAAAATTTTTACAATTGGAAATAAAATGTTTTTAATTATCATCTAAACTTAGTTTCACTCGTCAGTAGTCTATAACTTGGAATAATTAATTCTGGGACAGTGTAGGTGGTATTGATAGCTTAAAAATTTTATAAAACATGTAAAAGTAAATATTGAATGCATTTATTACATTAATCCAACTTTTTAAATTTTCAGTTTTTGAAAATGAATGAAATGTTGCTGAAATAAATGTTATTTATTCTAAATAAAGTGCTATTATTGTAAATTATTTGTAAAAAATACAAAGTCTGTGATGGAACACTTACGAGTAATGAAACTTATTCTAAAAAGCATGAAAAATAGTCGCCAAATCACGAAAATTTTGGTCACAATTATACTTTGAAAAAACAAAAATCTGCCGGCAAAACTTTATTCAAACCGATCATTACTTCAAATTAAATATTAAAATATCAAACACTCTTTTTAGTATATTAAATATCTTAATATCTTATTTTTTCAAGTTTTAAAAAACTAAATAACAAGAAAAGTTTACTATTAAAATAAATAGTAAACATATAAAAAGCTTAGTTTTAGAGCAAACTTTGTCGAAAATTACGTACACAGAGTTAAGATGAGTGCTTTTATGCTCTATGGCTTTTCGAACATTCGGATAACTACTCTTACAAGAGTATTATGAATCCAAAATAAAAATATTTTTTACCATTATATAAATTTTTTGAATTTCTTTTCACAAAATATAGATAATTAAAATTTTGAGCGAATTGTGATTTTATTACTTTTATTTCATTGTATCTCTAAGTACAGAAAGTACAGTTGTATTGAGATTGGATAAACCAAAAATGACATTCAGTCATTTATGTTTTCTTTATGGAAGTTGTTTAGTATGGGTTAGTATTTTAACTTTTCACGTTTTTTGTTGATACCTAAATACATGACAATATTTTTATTTATTCCATCATTGCAAAAGTGATCAATACAAAGATTATTCAATATAAAAAACCAAATGAAACAATAAATCTTAGATAATGAGATTACAATAATATGTGTACTAGGAATTATTAATTTTTTACGAAATTAATATTGCCTACTCCCTGTTGGTACATATTTTCGATGATCTAGTAAATGTTTGATTTATTTTTTGGCTAATTACAACAATTTCAACCTTTTATATTTTAAATAATAAATTCATGAACTGACACTATAATTGAGTTACGAGAATTAGAGTTCTGTGTACCCCAGAATGAAAGTATAAGTTACAAAACCACAAATACGAGATAAATCAAATTGAAGATTTTAAAAACCGTTACGTTAACTTAATTTAAAAATGCATATCTTCGGAACTATCAAAGATAGAATGTAATCCTGTTTTGCACCAGAAGGCTGGGAAGAAATTTTATAAATCTGCGGAAACCCAGTTTTCAAGAAATTTCGAGTTAGTATTTTAGGATACAGAGTTACAATGTTCACTGTGCTGCGCTTTTACCTACAAAAACTTTTTTTGCTTTCACTGACTTAATTTTGTCTAAATAACGACGATGGATTTTTTTAATGCAAATTCACTAGTATGGTTTTCAAAAAAAATGAAATGCTCACCGAAAAACGCCAAAACCAAAACGCACACTGCACTCCTCATGGTTAACCACTCACACAAATCCTTTAAACTCGATGGGTCCTCACCTGATACTGAAGAGTCACTGTGCAGAGCTTCTGGTTTTGACAGACGAGACACAGTAGTGGTACCCCTTTCGAAAGTGGCCGCCACCACCACACCTCACTCTACCAGGATGATATAACATCTCCGTATTCAAGACAACTCCTCTGCCTCGAGGCAAAGAATTCATCAAAAATTTTGTAATTTGTTAGAAATGCCACGAGAAAAATTCCAACAATTCCAAAATCATCAATGAGGAACTTTAACTTTGAACTTTAAGATCCTGAAAAGTGATCGGATAAACAGATCCTTAAAATGTTTCATCAACTAACCTTGACTCTTCTGAAAACCGTGTTGAAAGTTACTGTTGAAAACGATACGCCAATTAAAATAAATTTAATTTTTTATGGCGACTTAATGGGGACTTTTGTCAATAATAAGGCTATAAAAGAAGGATTCAGATTTGCATAAATAAGAGCGGTTTTCGAAGTTTCGATAAACAATCGCTGATTAAAGCTCGGAAAGTGAAAATAAAAATTTAAAAAAGTCGTTTACACGCTATTTAATTTCCAGTCTACAAGATTATTACAATTACCATAATTTAATTAAAATTAAGGTTTATATTAGTTGTAACTTTCTGCTTGGCTTTATTGAAAGTCGAACAATTATTCAAAACACACATTCACAAAGAGGTTTTATTCGTGGTTGATACATCTTTACACACAATTTTTGTAAATAAATATCCACAAACTAAAAATTTTAAGTATTACTACCAATTGATTAGAAATCATCTTTTGCAATTAGCTAATCTAGATGCATGATATATTACATAATTGTTTATTGGAGGATAAAATTAAAAAAAAAATGTAAATTCAAATTTAATCATATTATAAATCGCTTATGTATCACATTATCTACTATATTATCGTAAGATGTCCAAATGTCCAAATTTAAATTGGCAACATTAATATAAAGCACCTTAATTATTATTATAATGGAATTTTTAAGAATTCAACAAGAGTAGATCTGACGACCTTGATATTTAACAAGGATGTCTCTTATGAAGAATGCAACTGGACATCAATCTTTGCTTTGTAGAATTTCAATGCGAAAAATAAAATTTATGCTCACTTTTGTGTTTGTAGCTAATTAAAATATACTTTTTTCCATTTCTTTAAATTCTACATAGTTTATCTAAACAAGTCAACTCAAATGTTTTGTATTTAACTTTATTTACAACTATCAAAACTGAGTTGTTTTCTATTTAGATATCTTTAATGAAAACGGGATAAAAATGTATGCCAACTTTAGTTGCAATAAACAAGAAAACTGCTAATAAATTGTTTTAATGGTAATAATTTAGAATTTTATTGACAGTGAAATAGTTTAATTGTTATCTTTCATATTTCTAAAGGAAAGTTTAGTGATAATAAAGAAATTTATATTCATAACGAGAAACTATACCATTTGTGGCCTGGCACAATTAAAAACAGAACGATTCTTAATGTGTGTTTTTCTCTAATTGTGATGGTTAACAACCTCTACTACATTCTAATAATAATAATTAATTTCTCATCTTTTGTAACAACAAAGTAACAGAAATGCTCTAATTAGCCATCTTCAGTCCCAGCCGTTCTAAACTTTCGTTTTCGTTATTTCCTCATTCATTGACCAAGGTGGTTCGTGAGTATTTTTAAAACGATTCTTCCTGTTATCTATTGTTTTCGCTCAAACAAGGCCACCATTTACAAATTATCGTGATCTTCCAAATTTAAAATGTTGCTAATTACTCTAGAAAAGTGTCGTAACCGCGTCCAATTTGAATGTTTGTGAATTAGGACGACGCTTTTGAACGGTTTAAAACATTTCGTAACTTAATTCCGTCCAAAACAATAGACTTTCTTTTGCTCTCTTGTGATAAATCCTGTTGTTTTGACACTAGTTGCGTAAGTCTGCTATCGAAAAATGTCCGAACAACAAATTATTACAAGGAAAACAGTTATCTGAAGTTAAATAATGGATGTCGCGTGATGCAGACAGACCGATGGTTGTTAAACTTTATAATGAAATGCAACAATGGATTATTAGCCTTGTCTCAATTCCCATCTTTTTTGAAACGAAGCCGTCTGGAACATGAATTATTCAAAGAAGTTAATTCCCAGAGACTCCAGAATGATAATTGAAAGCCTTGGCGCGACAAATTTTTTCTTCTCTTTGATAAAAATTTAAAAAATACTCCAGTCATGATTTAGTGAAAGTCGTGTGTGATTTACAGTAGTTATTATTAATGTGAGAGCTAGAATAAAAGCATTTCACGCCTCATTAAAATAGAAACAAAGGTGCACCTAATTGACAAATTCAAATAAAGTGCCGTATTTATAATAAACCATATCTAAATTATCAATCTCTGATTTTTTCATCTCCTTATTTCTTTCATGTTTTATGTATTTGTCACCAAGAGGACGGATGAAAAAATAATAAATAATCTCGATTACTGTAAGTAAACTTGCACCTACGAATAAACCAACAGAACCACCAACTGAAACTAAAACTTGCAATGACCAATTCGAAATTCAATTTGAATTTTAAATTTCACCAAGCATGGTAAGAGGCGTTTTCACCACACTTCTGCTGTAACGTAAAGTAGGAGGATACACGATGAAATCGATTCGAACCTGGCTTTGGTCATTTCTAAACTGATTTTTCTGTATTGGAGTTTTGGTAAATCCAATATTGACAACTTCAACGTCGAAACAAGAACTTGTACAATTACAAGAAGTTGTTTTTTCTTTTATTTTTTTATTATCAATGGTACACAGTAACCCCTCAAAATCACATTCCTTGACTTTATCTAGAAATTAGATTTAATTTAATTAGTTTTTTAATGAATTGTTACCATTGTGTGGTAGAATGTGATAAGTGCAGTTGCAGATCTGTTTTTGAGCTTCAACAAGACATTCATTCGTGCAAGCTGAAGTGCTGTACAATTTTGCATGTTGCAAATTATTTTCATCATAAAATCGACAACCACGATTTTCGATTTTCATCAACCTAGCGGCTTCGTCTGTAAATGTTTCCTTTAAAACATTTTATTAAAATAGTGACTCAAATATAATTCATTTTTACTTTAACTGACAAAAACGTCTTGTAGGCTGTATTAACAACAATTCCTGAACTTGTGCGTGAATCTAGTAACACGTACTCGCTGGAACTTTCTTTAGTTGGGACAGAATCTTGGCTTAACCCATACACAATGAACCCATCGTGGTAAAGCTCAATCGATAAATTACCGTATCCAAAATTTGAATCACGTGTTATTTTGAAAGGGAGTTTTTCCCTATCTGTGTATTTTCTAAGAAAAATTTCATTATTTACGTTTTGGGAAATAATTGCAAGTACCCTGAAACCAATGAATTAAAGCCAAAACAAGGTCCGTGGTAAGTATGTATGGACAAGAATTCGTCGCAGCACGGAAACTCTTCGTTATTGTAAAAACACGAACTAATTGCTTCCGAACAACTGCTGCGGAACTGTAATTAAAAGAGTGCAGTTATGTTAACTTGCCGGAAAATACCACAACCTTATACATGTATTGCGAATAATTTGTTAACAAACATTTGTCACGTAAAGCACCATTTGGTTGACAAACTTGGGTGTGTCTTATAGAACCGTCGAAGAAAACAAACGTTTCAAGTTTGGGAAACTGTTGGGATATTGAACCGAAAATTCTTCAAAGATTTATTAAAAATTAAAATGACAGATAACTTACTTTTTGTTAGCATCAAGCATTTTTCTTGGATTCGATCGTTCGCAAATTACAATGGATGGGAAATTTGTTTGCCAATTTAAGTAAGATGTGTCTACCGAGAAGGATATTTTCTGGTTTTGGTACTGGTCTAATGCGTTAAATATTAATAGGATAGAAGCGGCCTGTTAACATTCTATAGCAAAAATTAAGCAATTTTTGGAATTTACCCAAGAAGCTAGAACACATATTGTCCAAAATAATTTTTCAGTCCAGTGGAACCTCTTATCTGATATGAAATGTAACCCATGTAAAGATGTGTTTAAGAAATATTTTGTAAAAATACCCATTGCAGGGCTGTTGAGAATTTGTGATCAATACTAATCATGAGTTGTGTCACATAACATAATGCAGTAAAACTAGAATAAATTATTTATATAAATGTTAAATTGTCGCAGTACATCAAAAAAGTGAGTTTGAAATAATTAAATTGCTAATTATAAATATATACCAACACAATATAACGTGCGTTCATAAAAAAAACTCAAGAGTGCTTTGACAAATATTTTGTATGTCTTTGATTAATTCATTTATCCATTTGTGAAGATGACAGATAATTAAAACTTTTTGTTGTACGACATACGTTCGCCTACTGCGAGTTTTTTTTTTATGAACGCACATTATTATATTAAGTTATTGGAAACCAAAACACTACGTGATCAAATTAAGAAACCACAAGTTATCTACTCTCTCATCCGTGATCTACAGGTTGTGTTAGAATAAGAAAGGCGCAGAAGATAGAAAGAACAAGTCTCTGTAAGAGAGTGATGGACAACCGGTTTAGCTGTGATCAATTTTATTCTTTATTTTCGCATCGACAAAACTTCATACTGGATCAAAAACTATACTTTTCTGGGGATTGTAACGATGTCAACTGCAGAACTGTCTACAAAAAATTAAGCTTCTAATTATTTTGTCCCCTGCGCACCCGCGACTCAGGGTCTTTCTTATTCCAAACAACCTATACTTAGTACAGTTGGAGACAACTGTGTCACTTTTCTGACACTTCAATGTAATTCAAGCTTTAACGTTAAAATGAATGACAATTTGAAATTAATGACAGCTATTTTATTTTCCTATCAAGAATATCTACATACAACTTGTCAACTATGATTGACAGTAGCTAAAAATAAGGTTAACAGTCCTAAAGCATGCTTTACAATTTAATATCACTCAAGTGACATTGACGACTAAACTATTTTGTCTCCAACTGTACTTAAAAATTGGAATTGTTAAATATTAAAAAAGTAGCAAGTGGTACTTGCATTTGTCTATGTTATTTATATTAATAAATATTTAATATTAATTTGATGTGCCCACACTCTACTTCTTACTACATGGTGGGTAGGCAAAGATAATTTCTCTATTGTTTTACTGGTTTTCTAATATACAATTAATTTTTACTCTTGTCCATAGAATAAGAAGAAGATAGAAGCTCTTAACATGTTTATGTCATTTTGACTTAAAAAATAGCGTCACTGACAAAAAAGTTTAATTGTCAAATGTCAGTCATGATGACAGTAAAAGGTGGTTTACAGCTAGTGAACTTTTTGAAGTGACAGAAAAATACAGCCCAAAATTTCAATTCTGTAACTGTACATACAACTATGATTGACAGTAGCTGAAAATAAGGTTAACAGTCCTTTACAATTTAATGTCACTCAAGTGACTTTGACGACCAAAGTATTTTGTTTCTGCAACTGTACTTAGTTGTTGTCAAAAACGCCAATTTTTTTTTACAATTTAATTGGAGTAAAATAAAAATGAATAATTACTACAATGCAGAAAGGGCTTCTATGGTCACAACGTACTTGATTTTCTTTATCACTTAATACTTTTTGTTGTTTTTAATAAAAAATAATTAAATCCTTGAAAAAACTAATGAACAAATATTTTATTGTGTCGCCAGTTTCTAACTTCAACAAAGTGAAAATAATTACCATGCTGGAGAGAGGATTTTTTGAAGTTGAGGTAGCTGATTAGTTGGAGCTCATTAGAAGTTTCATCAGCAGTTTCGAGACAGCTATGTGATTTGACATCCACACGTTTGTTGTTTGTTTCACAACAGAGCACGTGTAGAGCATGTTAAGGGAATGACATTAAATGACCAAAATTTAATGCTCGCCATTGTACATTGTACCTATTTATTTTATTATCAAAGAAATTGACAAATTATTTCCCTATGTTCGAGTTTGAGACCAGACACCCGGCATATAAGTTATATTTGTTATCCGTACTTGTTATTTTTTTCAATTTTGTTAAAAAAAAAATAGTAAGTATCGTAGCCTTAGTCACTTTTAAAAACAACGAAACATTTGCTTATCTTTTTTAACTTAAGACCTTACAACGTAGGTGTCTCACTCTTACATGTTGGTAACAATGTGAAAACCCATGAGAAACGAGATTTTTGCAAGGATATAAAATAAAAACTTTAAAATAGTTTAACCGTATTAATAATACACATCTTGAGTTAAATCATGTAGTGTACAAGAAAACTCAAAAAGGTAAAAAATGAACAAGTATCTATCAAAAGCATTGTGATGTTTAAATTTCCCGCGCCGTCAATTATGCCTTGGAAGGAGAAATGACGATAAAAAAACAAATGATTAATCAGGAAAATATGGCGTTTGCCAGGACAAAAATGTAGAAATTTTAAAGTAACCACTGTCGACTTGTCATCAGTTGAAGTGTTAAAAGTTTTTAAACAATAAACGTGGATAAATCTGTGATTCAACTTGTTCGAAAATAAATCCCCAGGATGAGTGTCGACGCATACGGCCCCAGTTCTCAGACTCTCACGTTTTTGGAGACCGAAGAAAACGATTTAATCGGGGCTGACACCCAAGGATCAGAATGCGAATTCACCGATTTCACGATTCCATCGCAAACACAAGCATCGCAGCATGACCACGCGGGCCCCAAAGTATCCGGTGTACAGGTTAGTGCAAGGTCGCCCCCTGGTTCAGTGTCATATGACGTTCTTTTAGCTTAACAACAACATCAATAATAAAATCGCGAATGCGACAAGTGCTTTAGGGGAACTGCAATTTGAAGAAGAAGATGAGGAGTATTTCAACAGCAAAGAACTCCCAAATTACGCTTGCAAATATTGCGGCATTCATGAACCCAATTGCGTTGTCATGTGCAACTGTTGCAAAAAGTGGTTTTGTAACGGCAGAGGAAATACCTCAGGAAGTCACATAATTAACCATCTGGTAATAAATTTAGACATGAAAACAACTTTTTCATTGAGTTATTTAGGTCCGAGCCAAACATAAGGAAGTGACCTTACACAAAGATGGCCCTTTGGGCGAGACCATCCTTGAATGTTACAGTTGTGGCGTCCGCAATGTTTTCGTTTTGGGGTTTATTCCTGCCAAAGCTGACTCTGTGGTGGTCTTACTATGTCGCCAACCTTGTGCCGCTCAAAACTCCCTAAAAGTAAGTTCTTTCTGTTTAAATTAAGAAAATTTCACAACTTTTTAATAGGACATGAACTGGGATCAAGACCAATGGAAACCCCTCATTACTGATCGTTGTTTTCTCACGTGGCTTGTAAAAATACCTTCAGAACAAGAACAACTGCGAGCTCGCCAAATCTCAGCTCAACAAATTAACAAACTTGAAGAACTCTGGAAAGACAACGTTGACGCCACTTTTCAGGATTTAGAGCGTCCAGGAGTTGATGAAGAACCCCAACAAGTTAGTCTTACTAGCACATTCTAACGTAATTATTATTTTTTGTTTTATAAGGTTTTATTGAGATATGAGGACGGTTACCAATACCAAAACATTTTTGGCCCTCTTGTTAAACTTGAAGCTGATTATGATAAAAGATTAAAAGAGTCTCAGACTCAGGAAAACATTGAAGTTAGGTGGGACGTCGGTTTGAATAAGAAAACAATTGCGTATTTTACCCTTGCTAAAACGGACGGGGACATGAAATTAATGCATGGGGACGAATTAAGGCTTAGATACGTGGGGGAAATGCATAAATCTTGGGCGGGGGTGGGACATGTTATCAAAGTTCCTGATAATTACGGAGAAGATATTGGCATTGAGTTGAAGAACGGAAATGGGGCCCCTACTGATTGTAGCAGCAATTTTGTGGTGGATTTTATCTGGAAAAGTACTAGTTTTGACAGGTAAGCAGGAATGTACTCTAATCATTAATTTTATAAAACCAACAAAGTGAAAAATCAGGTCAATCTAACAGAAATAAGTACGTTTTATAATTGGAACTGTTGTTGTGTGTAAGGTTACCACATTTTAATTTAAAAAAATTTTTTACTTGTACTTAGATAAGAATTTGTCATGTTTAATCAACGTATGTTACATTTTTTCTTCTTATTTCTGAACACTACTTATTTAATTACGTTTTTTACACCAGTTTTTACACCAATCTGCTTTTATTTGGATTTAAGTTATAAATTTGTGAATCAATAAAATTGCTAACAATTGGAGGTTGCTGTTTTATCTATAATTTTTGAAGCCTTGCGTAATTAAAAAAAATCATGACTGTTTATAAGCTTTTTTATAATAAACAGTAAAATTTGTTTAAGACACAAAGAAACACGGTTTTTTATTTATAAAATTAAAAAGTACTAGGAATAATTTCCTACTCAATAAGAAGACTGAAAAAGAATTTTCTATAAAACCGAAAACATTTTTTGAAACTTTTTAAGCTCGTACTTTGTAAAGTGGATTTACGAATATACCCATTATAAAGTTTCAAGTTTTTTTTTTAATCAAAGAAATGTATAATGTTTAGTTGTTTTTTCGTCGAGAATATTATTAAATGGTATTGGTAAATGCAAATTTTAAAGGCTTACCTTCATTTCAAACTAAATTTATTATTTCTTTTATTTAATATCTAAATTATAAGTTGTTTTTTCAACTTTAGATAACTTTTTTGGAATTTGAACAAGGGTTTATCATTTTACGTTTTCCACTTTCTTGTAAATTGCAGGATGCAACTCGCTTTGCGAAAATTTGCTGTTGATGACACATCCGTTTCGGCCTACATCTACCACCGCCTCCTCGGCCATGAAGTCGAAGAAGTCCTTTTTCGTTGCCACCTCCCTAAACACTTTTCTGCCCCAAATCTCCCTGATTTAAATCGTTCTCAAGTCTACGCCGTCAAACATGCCCTTCAACGGCCACTCTCCCTGATTCAAGGTCCTCCAGGAACGGGAAAAACCGTGACTTCCGCTACCATCGTCTACCAACTGGTGAAACAAAATGGCGGACCTGTCCTAGTATGTGCTCCTAGTAACACAGCAGTCGATCAGCTTACCGAAAAAATACACAAAACTAATCTAAAAGTCGTGAGATTGTGTGCGAAATCGCGCGAAGCGATCGACTCTCCTGTGAGTTTCCTCGCATTGCATAACCAGATACGTAAAATGGAAGCCAATACCGAACTTCAGAAGTTACAACAGTTGAAAGATGAGACTGGAGAGTTGAGTTCGGTGGATGAGAAGAGATACAGAATGTTGAAGAAGTTGGCCGAGAAGGAGTTACTAGAGGCTGCAGATGTCATTTGTTGTACTTGTGTAGGAGCAGGTGATCCGCGATTGGTTCGTTTGAAATTCCATTCGATTCTTATTGATGAAAGTATGCAAGCGACCGAACCTGAGTGCATGGTACCGGTAGTACTAGGAGTGAAACAGTTGATTTTGGTTGGTGATCATTGTCAATTGGGGCCGGTTGTCATGTGTAAGAAAGCAGCGAGGGCTGGATTGTCGCAGAGTTTGTTCGAGAGGTTGGTAGTACTGGGAATTCGACCGTTCCGGTTGGAAGTGCAATACAGGATGCATCCGGAGTTGTCACGCTTCCCATCGAATTTTTTCTACGAAGGGAGTTTGCAAAATGGAGTTTGTGCCGATGAACGGAAGTTAAATAAGATCGATTTTCCATGGCCGGTTTCTGATAGGCCTATGTTTTTCCACGTGACCCAAGGACAAGAGGAGATTGCTGGATCTGGAACTAGTTATTTGAACCGGACTGAGGCAGCTAATGTTGAAAAGATCGCTACTAGGTAAACTAATTGTTGTCTTAATTTGTGTTTTTATTAAGTTTATTATAGATTTTTGCGGTCGGGCGTTAAACCGGAACAGATCGGTGTTATAACTCCATATGAAGGTCAGCGAGCTTATTTGGTTCAATATATGCAATATCAAGGCTCACTTCATAGTAAGACTTATCAAGAAATTGAAATTGCGAGCGTTGATGCGTTCCAAGGACGTGAAAAAGATATCATTATAATGTCATGCGTGCGTTCGAATGAACATCAAGGAATTGGTTTTTTGAATGATCCTCGACGTCTCAACGTGGCACTAACTCGAGCCAAATACGGGATTATAATAGTCGGAAACCCGAAAGTGCTCTCCAAACAACCACTGTGGAACCATCTTTTGTCTTTCTACAAAGAACAGAAGGTGCTAGTTGAGGGACCTTTGACAAATTTAAAAGAGTCACTAATTCAGTTTGCAAAACCGAAAAAACTGACAAATTCGGATAATCCGGGATCGCATTTTATGACAACTTCGATGTTTGATGCTCGTGAAGCAATGGTACCTGGGTCGATTTATGACAGGACTAATACTGCGATCAATGGGCAATTTAATTATCCGCGTGGAGCTGTACCTTTGGATATATTTAGCAGAACGCACGATCCCATTAGTTACATTTCTCAAGAGAGGGCTCAAGCTGGGATGAACCTGCCAGTCCCAGTTGGTGTTTTTATGAATATGGCCGACGTTCCTCCACGTTTCTACAACCAACATCAGCAGGCCATGCAAGCCCGCCAACAGCAAAATTCGCGCAGCCGCAAACCTCCCATGAGACAGAAGGGCAAGACTTTGAGTCAGGAGCAGACTCAGCCGTTCAGTCAGAGTCTACAGTTGACTCAGGGAATGTCTCAGCCTGGATTATCTCAGCCAGGATTCAGTCTATCGCAACCGGGATTGAGTCAACCGGAACTCAGTCAGGATCCATATATGGCGGAGTATCAGTCACAGATGGACGGCTTGTTGTCACAAGATTCGACCTATCAGGGAGACAGATCGGCATTCTATCAGCCAAACGCTCAGTTCTCCCAACCATACTGATCACGTTTACACGGAGATGTTTAAAAAAATCGCGGGAGCGGTTTAATGAAAATTTGTAAGTGGTTGATCTGATTGTCGATTGTCAAATTATCAGTAACGCAGCACACACAGGTCCATGACGTCGAATACCGATTGAGTAATAACAGAGAAAGTTCAATGTCATGACGCACCTTTGTGATGAGATCAGACGACTTCTACAATCGTGAGAGCGCGACATGCATGCATCTCCAAGAAGCCTGTAGATGATTGTTTTCACACCTCTGCTGTGACAAACTTTCCATATTTATTTCAAACATTCATTTTTTAGTTATTTTGCATAATTTTCTTATTGATAATATTACGCACTTTATTTAAATTTAAATTATAACAAGTATGAAGACTATTTTTCTACTTTGGAAACCCAAACACGGATCCGTTCTTAAACTAACGAAGTAATATTATCAATACAAAAATCTTAGTGTCTATTTTTAATCCTTGTAAAATTATTGTTTTAGCTAGTTATTAGTTATTTTAATTTTTTTGGTATAAGTAAAAACACCTGGGTTATTTTTGGGGAATAGTATATTTTTTGTCCTTAAATTAATTTGCTTGTAATACATTAAACGAAAATTTAGTGTCAGGTGTTCTATTTCAAAATTCCTTTCCTTTTGAGCATAATTTAAATAAAAAAAAGTAGGATGTAAAATGTTACATTGGACTAGGACATTTGACGTCTTAAAAAATAGGGTAGAATCCTAAAAATTTAGCTGTTTGCCTAAAAGCAAACAACCGAAAAAGGCCTAAATTAATTAATTAGTTTTTATGCAAGCCGAAAGTACCCAAATATCTGTAGACCAGATTGGGGCACACAAAAAAACCGTTTAAATCTCCCAAAATAATGCAAAATTACCTCAAGAGCACCCAAAAAAAACTAACAAGATACCTTGCTTTTAATCACTCCAACATGGCTTTTTTTTTCTGAACCAAGCCATTTGGCACCAGCAAAAAAAAAAGAAAAAACAACAAAAATAATCAAAAATCAATAGGCCACCAGAAAATGGGCACATAAGAAAACTGTTGAAGGTCCAAAATCAAACATAATTACATTAAAAGCACCAAAAAAAAAAAAGAAAACATACCAAATCCATTGTTTTTAAACATTCCAAAATAAGTGTTTCAATTACTGGACCAGACCAATTATTGGCGCATACAGAAATCATTTAAAAACGATCAAAAAATGATAAACATGTGAAACGGCCGAAAAAATTATTATTCAAATTCCTCTGTTTTCAACAACACATAATGTCAATTTTTTTTTCTAGAGTAGGATGTTGAAAATTAAAAAAAAAATCTTATAAAAACCATGGAAATTAGTCCTAAAAGTTATTAAAGTAATTGAAAAGAAGCTCAAAGTCCTTGATTTTTAGACACTCCAAAATGGTTTTTCATCATTTTGAGATTTAGGGTTCGCCACTCCAGACCTTAGATTTTTATCTGTATTCCATAGAATTCTATTAAAATCCCTAATTCCATAGACTTCCCAAAATATCATTTCATTTCTGAACCAATATGAAATTTTTGGGAAAACAGCTAAATTAGTAGGATTCTACCCTGTTTTTTCGTGTGCCCAATTTTTGGTGATCTTCAGATTTTGGGGTGCATAAAAATTAATGCTTTTTGAGAGGGTTTAGGCTTTTTTCGGTTGTTTGCTTTTGGGCAAACAGCTAAATTTAGGATTCTACCCTGTTTTTAAGACGCCAAATGCCCTGCTGGTCCAGAAGTAACATTTTACATCCTATACTTAAAAACCTTGACCAAACGAAGCGACTCTATTTAATCAGTGACTTCCGTTAAAATGGCCGAAATACAAATCGCTCCCAAGTACACAATCGGCAATAATCGCCCAACTTTTATCATCGCAGAAATTGGCCAAAATCATCAAGGTGATGTAAACACTGCCAAAAAATTAATCCGACTCGCGAAGGTGAGATAATATAAAAAAAAAAATTTTTTCTCATTTTTTTTTAAAAGGAAAGTGGAGCTGATTGTGTTAAATTTCAAAAAACTTGTCTTACTGAAAAATTCAACAAAACAGCCTTAACCAGGCCCTACCCTGGCGCCAATTCATGGGGGCCAACTTACGGCGAACACAAAAAATTTCTGGAATTTTCAAACGAGCAGTTTCGCGAATTGCAGAGTTTTGCCAACGAAATTGATATTTTATTCACAGCGTCTGCAATGGATTTGCAATCTTTACGATTTCTTGCTTCCTTGAAAGTCCCTTTTATTAAAATTGGATCTGGTGATTCTAATAATTTGTTATTGATTAAAGAAGCTGCAGCAACAAAAATACCTCTTGTTATATCAACAGGAATGCAAGAGATGCAAGGTGTTAGGGCCACTTACGAGTGTGTCACCCAATATCACAAAAACTTTGCTCTTCTTCACTGCGTTTCTGCATATCCGACGCCTCTTGAAGACATAAATCTTGAAGTTATTAATCTGTATAAAAAGGAATTTCCTGATATTGTGATTGGTTATTCAGGACATGAGCTTGGGATTGATGTCAGTGTAGCTGCTGTGGCGTTAGGGGCAAAAGTAATTGTAAATTCCTTTATAACACGTTTTTATACATTTTTTAGATTATTGAACGTCATATAACACTTGATAAAAGACAGAAAGGGTCTGACCATCAATGTTCATTAGAACCACAAGAACTGAAGCTTTTGATTAAAAAGATAAGGGAGTTGGAAATCGCCTTGGGTAAACCTGTGAAGGTTTTCCAACCTTCAGAACATCCCTGTTATAACAAGCTTGGAAAAAGTTTAGTAGCCTCAAGAGCCCTACGAAACGGTGATATTTTACAACTTGAAAATATTAAAATTAAAGTAGCAGAGCCAAAAGGAATCGACGCCTCTTTACTCAAAGATGTGTTAGGCAAACGGGTTAAGGGAGACATCAATGAAGATGGAACAATTTTAGAAGAATATTTAGAATGATTTATTCATTACATCACTTACAATTTACTTTTTTCTTTCATATGGCCATACATAAATCGGTGCTCGATTGCGATTTCCTCTCCGCACTCGTTTTGGGGGTAAAACGTTCTTCCTATTCTCCACATGTTTTTTCATTTCAATTTTCTGTTGAATTACTGATAATTCCTTCTCTCTGTTAATCCTCTTTGCTAATTCATTATATAAATGTTTCTTTTTCTTCGTCGCTTCAGCTAAATCATCCAGATTCACGTCAGGCAACTCTTTTTTTGACAGCTGCTCCAATTTCTTCTTTGTTAATTCTTCCTTATCTATATTCTTAGTGAAATAAATATGTTTATTTTTCACGTCGTGATCCACGCTTGCTAAATGCAATTGTGCTTGAAGTTTTTCAATTTTCTTCAATTCTTGCGTCCTTTTCGTCGTGATATACTTCAAATCTTGACTTCGCATTAACCTTATTTGTTCTGGTGTATCTTCATCTTCAGTTTCTTTTTCAAAATGCATGCCATTTTCCGTTTTTGAGTTGATCATGTGGTGGTAAAACTCATCAGGATTTTTGTTGAGAGCCCTTTTACGTAGGAGTTTGAGGGTTTCTTTCTTTTCATTGAAATCTTTGGCTCGCTTGACATAATCCTTCTTCTTTTCTAATAAACCGAGGTGCTTGCGTTCTTCTGGCTGGTGGCGTTCTTTGTGGCTTTTCTGGTGCGCTTTTGCGGCTTTTTTCCAAACCGACATTTTTAAAAATCAATAATCAGTAACACATGTGACAATTAAACCAAAAAACTAACCTCTAAAATTTGAATTTTACAACTGTCAACTGGTAAGGTAGACAGCCAATAATACAGAGTACAGCAATGTTGACAAATGTTTTATAATTCATGATTAATGTTTCCTAGGCGTTCAAGTAATAATGTAATACCAGGCGATAAATAAATACGAAGTGTTTTAATAAAATTGTACAATTTTTAGAAGTTGTAATAATTTTTGTGGTCTAAATTTACTAAATTTCGCCCACAGTTTGGCAACGTTGAGTACATTCGCGTTTAATAAAATTGCGAAACCTTGACCTTATTTCGTAATTTTAATCATTTAAACAATAAAAATAATCATATCTTTTCACTGTGACCCCACCATGATATTTTTTTTCTTAAAACGTCTTTTTCGTTTGTGTTTTAATAATAACAGGTTGGCGGCCTTCGAGTTATCAAATGGTCGCCAGTAAAAATGGCGTACCTCTTTGTGTCAAAGTGCATTGTTTACTAATTATTGCGGCATTGCAATTATGTAATTTCACAGTTGCTCTTAAACAAAGTGGCGTTAAATTCTCTTCCTAATTTTTATCATGTCGAAAAAACTTTCAATAACTGATCCGTTTCAACCAAAAATCACTCGCAATGATCGATTTGCTCAAATGTCCCATCAAGAAAAAGTAATTGAGCAAAAGAAGAAAGAAATTCAAGCTAAATTAGAAGCCAAACAGAAGAGTAACGCCGAAAATGCACCAAAGGCAGGATCACCAACACCTTCAAAGGAATCAAAAAGGTATTGAGTTTGTTTCTTGCATTAATATTTTGCCTGAATTGTCTTATTTCAGCCCTCCCAAAAAGTCCGAGGGCAAAAACACAAGTGGATTTAATTTGTTCTCAAATGACGGCTCATTCTTGGATACATTCAAACAAATGAAGGAGAAAAAAATAGATTCTAAATTAAAATCATTTAAAGCGAAGGAAAGTTTTAGGTAAGAAGGAATTTTCCATTTTTCGATTGGGGTAAAAGTCGTAATTTGTAGTGATCAACGGTCAGGTGTCAACAAGAATAGCAGATGGTCTCAAAGACGTCGCTCACCATCTCCAAAAGAACGCAATTTAAAATCTCGAATATCTAGATTTTCTGACAAAACTAATACTTTTGAGCCAAAGATAACAATCAATACATCATTTAGCAGTCCTGTGTCTCAACAACACAACTTTGATAATCCTCAAATGTCTATAAGTCCCCAAAACGTAACAGGTCAGCCTCTGTTGAAAAATATGCTTCCACCACCAGGTGTCGTTTTCCCGACCGTCTCACAACAAAGTAGCGCTTCTGTGATTGCGGCACCGCCACTACTTCTCAACGTGCCGCCCCCTCAAATTGTGCAAAATCAAGTCAGCAGTACTCTGCTATTGCCAAATTCTCAAGGAAATGTTCTTGTGACCACTCCAACTGTCAATGTAACAATTCCAGCATCTGGCGTTTTGACAACTGTTACTTTGCCTCCACCTTCGGTGACAGTTTCCACGGCAAATGCTTTGCCGGTACCGCCCCCTTGTGTACCAGCAGTGGAACTAGCATCAATTCCGCCTCCAAATCCCATTCAAGTCCAAAATATCCCTCAACCTGAACCAATCAACGCGTTGAATATCCCTCATCCAGCCCCTATCCAAGTCCAGAATATCCCTACACCGACTTCGATTCAACTCAACGAAATCCCCAATCCCAAACCACTCGATTTGTTAGCAATCCCAACCCCGAATGAAGACAAATCAATCTCCGACCCTGACTTTATTAAAAATGTCCCACCTCCGAATAAATCGATCCCGCCTCCGAGTTTACCCGAAACAAATGTTAACGTTCCCCCACCCAACACTCTGCCACCCCCCAATATAATCCCAGTCAGTATTCCACCCCCTCAAACTATCACAACCCAAAATCTAACAGTTCAAAGCATCGCCCCTTGTCAAAATATCCTAGTGCACACAATTCCACCCCCGCAAGCCGTCCCTCCTCAACTCCAAACCCTACAAAACTTGCAAAACAACCAAACTATTCAGAATATCACCACGGGAGTACCGCCACCAAACATCCAAAACCAAAACAATTTCGCCTCGATTTCGGTTGCTCTTCCGGTCGGTGTTGTTCCTTCTAGTCCTGTTACTGTCAGTAATACAATTCCTTCACTCATGGCACAACCCATTTTACCACCCCCGGGAATGGGCATGGCAACGGTTAATGTCAATTGTCCACCTCCAATGCTACCGCAACTCCAAGCACCTCCACCGAGCTTTGTTAATCAACCGCCACCAATCACGAATCAAATGCCACCGATGAATGTACCACCACCGAGCACTACGATGGCGATGATGAATCCGGCGCCGATAACGGGGCCCTACCACGATATGAATGCAGGTAAATTGAGTTTGGGAGGTGGAGAAGAATTGCACCATTATTTATCAATTATCAACTGCAAATACTATTTGTTCGTTGTTAATTTCCTTTCTTTTACCCAAGTTTTGTAAAAAAAAACTGGAATCCATTTTTTCATTGTAGTATGGTTTATTTAGAGTGATTACATACATATTCCAAAGCCAGACAAAATATATCTTTTTTTTAATTACATTAATTTTTAATTTGAAAATCGCCAAAATATACTTATGTTCAATAAAAAATAAGACAGGCCCGACAGAACTTGTATACTTAGATTTTACCTGACACACCCTGTATTATGTACAAAAAAGACAAAAGGACAGTGAGTGGCAAAATTACGGAATAATCTTACTTATTAAAACTGAAAATATTGTGTTTTGGGTCAACTTTTCTTTTTAAAAAATACACAATTTTCAACTTCATATAAAATTTTAGAACTTTTTTTTAAGTGGAGACGTCTATTTTTTTAGCCAATTTGATAGATATTTTAATTATCGAAATGACAACACCAAAATATTAAATATTATATAAAGATCTCGAGAAAAAAATCATCGAAAAAGGGAAATATTATCAACAAAAAACAAATACAATTTTAAATCAAGTTGAGAATTTTGTATTAAAAAAAAATTGACTTGTTCGAGCATTTTTCTCAAAACAAAATATTTTCAGTTTTAATAAGTAAGATTATTCCATAGTTTTGCCGCTGGCTATACAGCAGGGGGTGTGTCAGAACTCGCGCCTCAGAGAAAAATTTCAAGTAAGTAATTTCAAGAACATGGAAAAAATGTAAAAAACCCTAATTCTCTATTTGTCAAAAAATTTTGACATTAAATTTTTGACATTTGAATTTTTTTTTATGTTTATTTAATGATACTGATGATCTTGTATATGTTTTTTATAATTATTTAGTAAAGGTACAAAAATTTTGCCAATAAAAGCCACAAATAACATTAAACAGAGTTACAATTTAGGATACAGCTTGCTTGTTTCCTCTTCTAAAATAGCCTGCAGCAAAAAAACTTGGAAAATTATTTTTCTAACAAAAAAATGCAAAGTTTACACTCTCATAACTTTGAAATTTTTATAGATAGAATTTTTTTAACATTTTTTTATGTTCTTGGTACAGTTGGAGACAAATTACTTTGGTCGTCATTGTCACTTGAGTGACATTAAATTGTAAAGCATGCTTTAGGACTGTTAACCTTATTCTTAGCCACTGTCAATCATAGGTGACAAGTTGTATATATTTTTGATAGGAAAATACAACATCTGTCATTAATTTGAAATTGTCATTCATTTTAACGTTAAAGCTTGAATTACATTAAAGTGTCAGAAAAGTGACGACCAAAGAATTTTGTCTCCAACTGTACCTTACCTTACATGACATTTTTCTCTGGGGCGCGAGTTCTGGCGCATCCTGTATTAGGAGTATTTCACTTGTTATTTTGAAAATTAATTCGTAAAATATTGCTGCAAAATTACATTCCGAAATTTTCTTGAGTTTTAAACGAAAAGTCGCTGTGGTACCATATCAAAATTATTTTGCTAATTATCAAAAGTTGGTAGGTATTCAGTTTTTTATGAAACGATGTAAAATATTAAAAAATTAAAAACGGGAATATAATGAATACCTGAACGACCTAAATCTATGCAAAAATATCAACTTTTGCGTCACATAGAAGACATACTTGAGGATAAAAGAAGAATTATTTCCATAAAGTTTATTTAAACATTTTTCATTAAAAAAGCTCAAACCAAAAAATGCGATTCCAAAAGTGTTTTCTACAGTCAGTGTTGTTGACTAAACCTGGGTTTAAAAATAGTTTTAAGTGTCGTCTAAACCACACAATACTAATATTACACATTCCAATAGATTTAAGTAAATTTCAGGACGATTTCTTAGGTGCATATAGTCCGGAGTGCAGTACTGATTGTGTTTAAAGAATCCTAGCTGCAGGGATGATTCGGTTTTTCCACTTTGGCACTCACTTTACGCGTTTGAATGATCACTTTGGAATATCACGCGAGTCATCCCTGCTTCAGCACGGGGCTTTTAGTGATGTGTTGTGAAGTATTTCCCCCAGGTACTCCAGATTATGAAGCGATGGCGTCGCTCGGCCGCATGGTGGCCCAATGCGGACCCGGTATTGAGGAGGTCGTCAAGCAACGCAAAACTCAAGACCCCAATCTGTGGTATGCAGGGACACCACGCTACCAGATTAAGTCCATTCTCATGATACACGCACGCTTTCGCCAGTTTTTTCTTTCTTTTGTATCATTTAGTTTTCTTCTTCCATTTATTTGGCTTGTTTTTGACGAAAGCAAAGCGATTTAGTCAGAAAAAAGGACTTGGTCTTAAACCTGCGTCGAATGCATGGCGCCAACGATTAATTTGTTACGGTTTCAAATGTTTATAGGTTCCTATTTCACAAAGAATCCGCCGCCTATCAGCAGTATCAACAATTGGTCGAACAATTCAAAAGAGAAATCAGTAAACAAGAAGATAACGAAACCAAAGACACACAACACTACAAACCGGAAGATATTTACGAACCTGAAATGGCTATTGAAGATGATAACGACACTAATATAATACAAGAGAAAAAGGAACCTGTAATATAAAAATATAAAAATTTCTATTATTTGATTGTTATTTTTTGACTAATTACAGATTTTAAAAGAACATGAGAGTGAAAGTACAACTAAACGGAAACGGAAAAGTAGATGGGGTGATAAAGACCCTTCAATACCTCCGCCTACTCTTATGCTAAATAATTCTTCAGCATTACCAAGGCCAGGGTTGATAACCCAAAATCAACCAAGTGGTAAGGCCTGTTTTGAATTTTTTGTTTTCAGTAGACTGCCTGTTTTGCACGTTTCGAAAATATAGATTTTGAAAAATAAATTTTCTTTTCAGTTGGTCGGAACGGCCTCTTGTGTCTGGCCAATCCCTACCAAAACTAAATTTAGCACATTTTTATTTAATTTAGTTTATAGGAGACATTTTTGTTGCTTTGAACACAAAACGTATGTAATTTGACACGTAGAATTATTAAATTTGTTCATTTTGCTCATTTAGGAAACGTGATGTTATCAAAAATAACACGAAATGATCCTGGATTGATCCAATACGTTATAAATACGTACGGTTCGACGAATTTGTCTGAAGAAGAGTGGGACAAAGCCGAAGATCATTACAAAATAAATCTTCTTTATCAAGACATGATGAAGAAACGTGCCGAATTAGAAAAACTACAAAAAGCCGGTAAAAATAAATATGACTATGACTCAGACGAGGATGTGGAAGGAGGAACTTGGGAACACAAGTTGCGAGATAAAGTAGTAAAAACTTTTGTTTTTACATAAATTAGAGTGAATCATTTTTCAAGGAAATGATGGCAACGCAACTGTGGGCTCAAGAATTAACCCGTCAAGCCGAAGGTAAACATCACATCGGCGATTTTTTACCACCAGAAGAACTCAATAGATTTATGGAAAAAACCAACGCGAATAAAGAAGGGCGTATGCCGAATTTCTCCGATTACAAGGAATTTAAGATTAAAGAGGACAATATAGGGTTTAAAATGTTGCAAAAGTTGGGGTGGTCCCAAGGACAAGGGTTGGGGACAAATGGAGCTGGGATTGTTGAACCAGTGAATAAGTTTGTAAGGTGTTGTGTACTCTAAGTTTGTTTAATTTTGTTTGTGTTTAGGGCTGTTAAACGTGAGCAAAATCAGGGATTGGGACTTGGCGATGACGATGATAATAAGGAAGATGAGTATGAGGCGTATAGGAAGAGAATGATGTTGGCGTATAGGTTTAGACCGAACCCTTTGGTAGGTTGTTGCTTAGAAGAGATTATTATTAAAAATATGATTTTTAGAATAATCCAAGAAGACCATACTACTGAATGTAGTGACTATGTGATGTTAATTTCGATTGTAAATTTAGCTACATTGTGTATTTGTTCAAGACACAATGCTTTTTATAAATTTATCTTATGAAATCAAATTGTGAAATTTGAAATTTTAAGAGTCTTTGCCCTATTTTTATTATGTAAATTATTTAAATTATATAAAAATTAAAATTACAGGGCATTTAAAATATTAAGAAAAGCTATTGAAATTAGGGAAAATATCAGTTAAATTTCTCCCACTTTTAGGAACCACTTTAGTCTGGTTTACAGAAGCTCAATTAAAATTTTAATATTGACAACTCTAAAAAACTTACAAGTAATTACTAATTTTTCTAGTCATTAAAAGTGATGTTATAATAGTTTTTGAGTCACTTTGGGGGTAAATTGAACTTTATCTTTTACAATTATCTAACTGTTATGGTTGGTCTATGTGTAGATATAACGAGTCTATTTAAATTTGGCGTAATAGTTGGCGGTAATGAGTGTGTTGTGAACGGACCATAATTTTTAATACACTTGGTGAGGTGTCAAATGTCAGATTAATATCTTTCAATACGCTGGGTTGTTTAAAATCAAATTTTCATGGATCGCTTTGAGCCAAAATTAAAAAAAAACACCCGTTATAATTCACATTTGGAAACAGTGGAATTTTAATTGATCTTTTGCCTAATTTCAATAGTTTTTGTTATTACAAAATTGGGCATTTCATAATACTTTTATAAAAAGCAGTGTATTCTTAACAGGTACAGTGATGGAAAGTGAATTCACTGCAGACTGTACTTTATTGTCATGATAACTGACATTTAAATACGTGTTGTCAAATTTAATTAAATTCTTATTTATTTTTAACCAGATTTTTAACCGGAAATTGGATTGGTACTATACCTCAAGCAATGTAAAACAAAGCACAGGTAATAAGTGGTAAGGAGCATTTTGTCAACATGATAAATCAAAGTTCTGAAACAAGGTTAGCACAACCTAAAGAGTAATTTACACTTTTAGTCTGTTATAAAAATTGGGTGGACGAAATTCACTGTCCGTCACTGTACAGAATGTAATAATATGTATAAAGTGTAAATAGTGCAGTATTATGTTATTTATATTATTGAAAATTTTATTGTATTTATTTATTTTCAATTAATTAAAAGAAACAATGTCAACGTTTTGTTTTTTTTTTAAATTCTGGTTTTGCATTTGAATGAAGCAGTAGATCAGGTCAAGTGTTTATTGTGTACGAATGCGAAAATAGCAAGGTCTAAAGTGAGTGATTGCATTTTTCGAGCTGACGCACATACGGATACTACAAATAGAATAGGTTGCAAAAAAGATTTATAACCTAAACACGTTTGTCAACTTGTCACTTATTATTGTCAATAATATTTTGATACTGGTTGAGACATGTTTTGTGGTTTACTTGTTTACATTTTACATTAATTTCCCGTGGTTGTGAGTAATTTACGCCATAACACGAATTTTGACTAATCTGCAACATTTTTATCAGAATTTTAATATTTTTTGTGAGAAGAGATTTCTCAGTGATGTCATTGTCTGGAAATTTGGGAAGTCCCTCAAAAGATACAATCTCAAGCAGCGGAAGTCTCGTTGGCAGCGAAAATTTACCAAGAGATTTTAGTAGGTTGTCTCTATTCTCTTCTGGTTCTGCTACTTCTCAAGATGAGCAGTTTAGGAGTGAAGGACACGCAGAACATAGTCTCTCCTGCATGCAAAATTACTTACAAGCCGGGAAATTGTGTGATGTAACGCTTGTGGCTGGCAATAATGGAAAAAAAGTGCAAGCACACAGGTAATTATTAAAACATTTATCAATTAATTGTAAAATAAACACAACGTAGCACTTATATTTCCCGCTTCTAGACTTGTTCTTTCTGCTGCTAGTGAATATTTCGCCGCGATGTTTACTAGCAATTTACGAGAGTCGGGAGAATCTGAAATAACTCTCGGTGATGTTAGCGGTGATGTATTACAAGCTGTTGTAAATTACTGCTACACGGGTGCAATCGACATAAGAGAAGACAATGTAGAAACACTTCTATCAACAGCGTGCCTAATGCAATTACACGAAGTTGTGGAAGCCTGTTCACGATTTCTCGCCCATCAACTGCATCCAAGCAATTGTCTCGGTATTGCGGTTTTCGCCGAACACCAAGCTTGTACGAGCTTGTTACAAGAAGCCAATGCTTATACAAGTCAGAATTTTATGCAAGTAGGTTTTTCAACAATGTTCTATAACGAGGTTTTCATTTTCGTTAAATTAGGTAATACGAAACCAAGAATTCCTTCAATTAAATGCGGAGCAAATGAGAAATTTGTTATCAAACGATGATTTAAATGTCACGTCTGAGGAACACATTTTTCATGCTTTGATGAGTTGGATCAATCATGATCCAGTCGAGAGGAAGCGACTGATTGGTCTGTTACTCGCTTTTGTTAAACTCCCCCTACTGTCGCCAGAATTTCTGACAGATCAAGTGGAACCAGCTGTTGGATCTGACCCAGCCTGTCAGACACTTATCATGGAGGCATTCAAGTGGCACTTATTGCCCGACAGGCATTTTCAAATGGCTAGTAGTAGGACTAGACCACGGAAAGCTACACTTGGGAGGTTACTAGTTGTAGGTGGCATGGATAAAAACAAAGGAGCAACGACGATAGAGAGTTACGATCCGAGGAGTAACCTATGGACGGTGTCACACCACATGAGTGGGCGGAGACTACAATTCGGGATTGCACTTTTGGGCGACAAGTATATTTACCCATTAATTTTTTATTTGAAAACATGATTTTTTGTCAGATTATTAGTCGTGGGTGGCCGCGACGGTTTGAAAACTCTAAACACAATGGAATGCTTGGATATGGAGACCGGATCTTGGACCCAATTATCACCAATGAACACCCACAGACATGGATTGGGCGTGGCCGTTTTGGGCGGGACCTTATACGCGGTAGGCGGACACGATGGGTGGAGTTATCTCAATAACGTCGAACGGTATTTATGAAGTATTTTTTTAACAAATTGTTGAGATAAATAAAATAGGTGGGACCCTGTGACTCGATCTTGGAGCTATGTCACCCCCATGCAAAGTCAGAGATGTTCAGCCGGTGTTGCCGTTCTAAAAGGCAAACTTTATGCAGTGGGGGGTCGCGATGGAGCTTCTTGTTTGCGCACGGTGGAGTGCTATGACCCCCATACTAACAAATGGACGATGTGTGCCCCCTTGGCTAGGAGACGTGGTGGTGTTGGAGTAGCTGTAGCCAATGGTTATTTGTATGCTTTAGGGGGACAAGATGCTCCGGCGAATAATCCAGCCGCGAGTAGATTTGATTGTGTCGAGAGATACGATCCCAGTAAGTAGAAATTGATCTGTGTTCCTGTCGCGTTACCAACTTTATTTTTTGTTTTTAGGCACTGATACTTGGATTGTGATCGCGTCATTGTCAAGCAAACGTGATGCCGTGGCAGCTTGTTTATTTGGAGACAGACTTGTAGCTGTTGGAGGCTACGATGGTAGTCACTATTTAAGAACAGTGGAGCAGTACGACCCCATTAATAACGAATGGACTGTTCTAGCACCTTTAATTACAGGTAGAGCAGGTGCTTGCGTTATTGCAGTGTCAAATGCTCACGTGCAATCAGGTGACTAAATCGAACTGTTTGAATATTTATTATAAACATTCCTAAACTCGTATTACGAATCCTAAAATATTCAATTTATATTTGAATGTAGAGTAGTGATTCACATTTCATGCAATATTTTTAAAGTTTCTTTTTTCTTTAAATGGAAATTACCAAATCATAGCCACAAATTTTGTTTGCTCTTTGTTTTTGTTCCTAGAAATTTTGTTAAAAAATGATGGTTTTCAAATTGAGATGTTGTCAAAATTTTGACTTTTATTAATCTTGTGTCCCTGTTTGCTCTTTGAAAGCGCTATAATTGAATACTTGAGGATAGACATCATTACCTAAGGTCTAAAGACAGAATTCAGTGTTAATAATTTTGACAGAAACACACCGCAAGTAAGTACAATGTTCTCGACAAAAATGAGGTTCTTGCTACAAAAACTTACAAAAAAGGATGTATATACTAAAAAAGTTATTTACCAAAAAATACAAGTAGGTATTTTGTATAATTTATTGAAATGACTCAAAGTTGATGCATTTTATAAATTCTTCTTCAGCTTTAGTTTCAAAATTGTTACTTTTTCAACTCGTTCCTCAAAAAACGATGCACAAGACACTAATTTAATTGCGTTCTTTTCAAGGTTCTTTCTCATTCATGTTTGTATTCCTGTCAATTTCTTGCTAAAAACTGAGAATTTTAACAGCCTTTTTTTCCGACTTCCTGCTTGCGAACTATTTGTTTCCAAATTTCTAAAAACTGTTTACGGTACCGAATTTGTTCCTTTTTTGGTGTTTTATCTCTAAATTTTCTTAGACGACTTTTTGTGTTAACGTTTAATGACATTGTTTTCAAATTAATTCAAAAAACCAAAACTACCAACTTCCTCTATTAAAATTACCATGAATGAATTTACTAGTGGTGCCAACTTTAGACTATTTGGCATTTCCATTTAAAAAAAAAACAGACTTTACTTTTGTATTAAGTAGATAAGACTTCACAGTATTATTGCAATAATATTTTTACTATTTTTTTTCTACAGTTGACAGCTATAAGGTGTTGCTTTGTGACACAAAGACTGAACTGAACTGAATTTATTTCTACTATTCTTCCAAGAGTGTTTACATTTCTTATGTAAATATCGTGTGATAAAAACATTGCATTCGAGTCGGCTTCACTGCCAAATGTTTACTAGAATATGAGAAATTGTAATCTCGTAAATATTACACCGTTGACTATTATTAATGTATTCACCCAATTTTGAATTTTGTGATGATTATATTATATTCATGTTTTCTGCAAGGAATAGTCGCTAAGATTTATTTACTATGTAAAAATTGTACTTTCCAAAAATCTTGTAAAAATGTTTCCTGTGATAACGACTTATAAAATTAAGATCTTGCAGAAAAATATGGTGAGAAATTGTGATAATTAGGCAGTTGTGAAACATTTTGCAAATAAACTTTCTCAGTTTTTTTATTCAAGCGATGATTATTTTTTCCCCAAAAAACATTCATAAAACATCAATTTATTAAATAATTTAACAAGCAATTAATTTATAAGTACCTACATGAAACAAATACTGTGATCATTATCTCTTTAAAAAACAATTGATTCTCCTAAAAACAACTATTTTCACCTCGTCCCATCGGTGTTCCAATATTCTTCACTCTGCATCTGAGTCAAGCGTGAGATAGTCCGATCGAAAGCGAAAATTTCTTCGTCTCCGGTAAATATACTCGCCGTTGCGGCATCCTCTTTCCCGATTTTTAAATCATCCATTAACATTCTTTGCTCATCGCTTATCCCGACTTCAAGTTTTTGCCGCAAGAAAAGGTCTTTAATAGGAACCTCGGCACTGATTACGACTTTAATTCTATGGTCGTAGAAAGCATCAATTAGAGTGATGAATCGGCGCGTTTGCGATTTAATTTTCAAACTCATTTGGGGAACATCGCGAATGATAATAGTGTGGAAAAATTGGGCCAAGTGGAGGTAATCGTTGGCGCCCAAAGGCCGGTCACACAACTCCTCAAACGTGGTTTCCAAAACTCCACCACATGCCTTATTGAAGGTCACGTCGCGGCCTTGGATTGTGAAAGTGCGATTGCGGACGATATCGTTTTCTTTGGAACACAGATACTTGAAGATTGGTTTGATTGGATCCAATTTATGTTCGGATTTAACGAAATAATTTGATTTGGTCGTTTGGCTTTTCAATCTGTAATCAATCCCAGAGTCTAGAGTGATGATCTCACAGTGGTCTTTCAGCACTTGAATAAATGGCACAAAGTTGGACCTTTGTAAGCCATTTTTGTACAAATCATCAGGCGATCTGTTGCTTGTAGCAATCATGACAATTCCATTTTCAAAAAGAACGGTAAATAATCGTTTCAGAATCATGGCGTCCGCGACATCAGTGACTTGAAACTCATCAAAACAGATCATCCAAGCACGGTTACTAATGAGATCCGCGACGGGTGGAATGGGGTCAAAGGGTTTGGCTTTTCTCTCTGAGAAATCTCTCACCACGTCTTTTTTAGTTTCGTGGATTTTCTCATGTACATCTACCATGAATTCGTTGAAGTGAACCCGAGACTTTTTATCGATGTTGCAGGTGTTGTAGAAGAGGTCCATTAGCATTGTCTTTCCACCGCCTACAGCGCCGTAAATGTAGAGACCTTTTGGGGCTTTCTTTTGACTAGAAAAAAACTTGCTTAACAAATTTTTTTCAGGCGGCTGGTAGCTCTTCGTTTCGTCATATATCCGCTGAAGGGATTTACCTACTTTTAGCTGAATTTCGTCACGTTCTAATTCTCCATTTGCAATTTTCTCGTTTAAAACATCAACAGGCCCTTTATTATATTTTGTACTTTGGGTGGAAAAAGAATAATGGAATTTCTTCTTTTTTATAGTTTTTGTGATAATTCGGAACATTTTATAGTTTTGAAATATTAATAAAACATCCGTGAATTCATGCAACAATCTAAAAATAATTCGCAGATAATATAAATGATTTTTTTATAAATTAATTCTGCACTTACGTTGCCGTCGAATGATTAGCCAGTAATTAAAACATTAATGGTTAAGTAACTCTGAACTTATAAAACATTTTTCTCGAGTTTACGTAATTTTAATTTGATATTACCTGTGAGTTGCAGCATTTTTGCAAGTTTTCCGTCACCTTTGCCACCATATTTAAATGTCAAGCCTTTGTGATTGCTTTGTTGTGAACAATATATTTTAAAAATAGTCCTAACTAATAGTTAATTAAAATTAAAATGTTCAAAGTGGCTAAGTTTGACAACAACAACGTTGCAGAAGATGTCTGCAAGGAGTTATTTAAGGTAAATTTTTGTACATTTTAAAATTTTGTGGTTATGTAGATGTCATTTTTGTTTGTGACTAAAGTTACGTTACGTTCCTTATTTAAAAATAATATATACAGGGTGAAACAAACAAATATTAATTTTTCAATAATGGGAGTTAATGATTTTCTAGAAACCATCACCTCAAACTAATAAGAAGAACAAAAATAAAATTTTTAAAGGAAAAGTAACAAAACATGTTAAAGAGAAAAAAGATGTTTTAAACGAAGAAAAGATAAAGAATGAAATAAAAGCTATTTTAAATAATAGTTTTCAATCCGGCAGTAATGTTCAATTGAAAAAGAAGAAAAAAAGAAAAGAAAAAGACAGTAACGTACCTGGAAAATATGTTTCCCTCATAAACAAAAATTTGGAAAATCAAAAAGTCAACATTTCGCACACACCTGAAGAGTCTCAACGAAAGAAAAAGAAAAAACGGAAGCGGAAACCTATTTCTATTGATGTTAATGACAAGCCCCAAAATTTACAAAAAGAGACAACTCCATTAGATTACAAGCTAAGAAAAATGCAAGAAGTCAAAAAAAAGATGTTAACAAGAGCAAACCCTGAACCTACTACCACAAAAAAACAAAAGTCTCGCGAAAAGTCTTTAAGAGAGCGGATGATGGAAAAATTACATGCTGCGAGGTTTAGATATCTTAATGAACAAATTTATTCAAGTGATAGTAAAGAAGCACACAAAATTTTTAAAGATGATCCAGACGCGTTCAAGGCGTACCATGAAGGCTATAGACAGCAAGTTGCTAAATGGCCTTTAAATCCACTAGATGCTATAATCCGAAGCGTTCAAAAAATGTAAAAAAAATCATACAAAAGTTGAAAAATTAGTAATTGCTCATTTTTAGGCCAAAAACACACGTCATTGCTGATTTCGGTTGCGGCGATGCAAAGTTGGCTCAATCAGTGAATCAGAAAGTGCATTCGTTTGATTTAGTTCCGGTAAATGAGGCAGTGACAGCATGTGATATGGCACATGTGCCCTTGGATAATAATAGTATCGATGTTGTTGTCTTTTGCTTGTCTTTAATGGGGACAAATCTTCATGACTATCTTTTGGAAGCCAATAGAGTGTTAGTTCCAGGGTAAGTTATCTCGTTTGCGTTTTTTCTCTTAAATGTTTGTTTTTTTAGAGGAATTTTGAAAATTGCCGAAGTCGAGAGTCGATTTGACGATGTTAACCAGTTTATTGAAGGAGTAAAACGATTTAATTTTAAAAATACATGGAAGGACTTGTCGCACAACTTATTCTATTTTTTGGACTTCAGAAAAGAAGGTAATATCAAGAATAAAAAGAAACTTCCAAATTTGAGTTTAAATCCGTGTTTATACAAAAAACGATAACAGTTTTAATACATTGATTTTATAAACAATTAAAGTAATATAGATTGATTTATAAAGGGTTTAGGGTTCTCTATACCGTCAAGTACGTCTTCAGCTTCTTCCCGTAAATTTTCCACTTTTTCCAACATCAACATCTGCAAAAACGTCATAAATACTCCCTTAATAATATAATCTACAAACCTTAGCTGCAGCAATGAGTTGTTTTGCTACCCTCCTCGGTAAATATTCGATACTTTCCACCAAATTGTCGGCATTTGCTGCAGCTATACTACGTATAGATTTAAATCCGGCATTGTAAAGCTGCCGTGCACGGCTCTAAAACCAAAAATTAATTTCACTCAACTCAAATTTCATTCTGTACTTGTTTCACTGCCGGTAATTGCATCAAAGGCAATAATTCTTTTACACAACAATGTGACAATCTTTGACTCATCCCATTTAAAAGATGAGCAAAAGTCCAAAACTCTTCCAAACCTTCACAAAAATGTACAACATTTGATGCAAAAGTCGCAGCACCGGTCATCAAATGCTGCACAATTCCCCGATTCACTTGGAATTTTTCCGAGACTTCGAAAATGGGAATTTCGTTCCATAAATCATACAACATCAAAGTTAAATAAAACCGATTTAAGACACGTTCAGGTACACTCTACAAAAATATATGAAACATGATTATAAATCATAAAAAAACAATACTTTGATTGGTTGGTTTGACAACATTCTCATAACTACTGCATCGTTAATTCCCAAAATACGAGCTGTTTGAAGTTCATTGCGGCCCAATTTACAAAACTGAAATTTTTTTAATTTATTAATTATCAAGAGCAAGGTGAGCATCCTTACAATATTGTAGTAGTCGTTATTGTTTGGTTTAATTTGCTCGGCGAGATCATAAGGTGTGACAAGATATAATAAATGCAGACAATCGAGTAAAACTAGACTTTTCTGTGCTTGGTGGAGGTCATCGTAAAGTTGATGCGCTCTTGTCAATTCAAAATTGCCTTTAATTGCAGCACAACCTAGTTTACTGATCACAAGTTTAGTGTCGTTTTTGAGGACAATTTTCCTTTTCCTTCCACTTGAGAAATTACTATTACAATCGGTACTCGAAAACTAAAAAATATAATAAAATGTAAAGACTCCAATTAAAAACTCACTGAAGTTTCCATTCGGACTGTTACATCGCAATCCAAATTATTTTCCTTTTTACTCAAATCCGCTTCTTGTAAAGCTCCAAGTTTAAAAAGATCACTAATTGCCTTATCAGTGATTTTTTTTAAATTGACTTCAAGTCGTTCACTCTGAATATTTAATAAAGTTTTTTTCGATACTTCTTGCAGCTGAGCTCGAGTGTTAGCCACACCTAAACTAATACAACTCAAAAGCAAATGTCTGAAAAAAATTGTTAATTGGGAATTAAACACAATTGTATTCACCTCAATCCTTTTCCTTCATTTTCGTGCATACCAGATAAAGCTTCATCCATTGGTGACACCAGTAATTTTTTCACTTTGGGTAATTCATGAGGATTACAGATTAAAATACTTTCACCTGTCTCCCCCAAACCAGCTCTACCGGCCCGACCTACCATTTGTTTATATTTGGAAAGACTGATAAACTCGCGACCAATATAGGGTTGCCTTAGAATGACTCTTTTGGCAGGTAAATTAACTCCAGCTGCTAGAGTTGACGTACAACAAATGACTGAAATGACACCAGCCCTGAAAGCTTCTTCAATAACTCGGCGTTCTTCATTTGTTAAACCTTAAATATGATTTGTTATTTGGTGATTTTTTTTATTATTGTAATACCTGAATGATGATACGCGATGCCTAATTGGATTGACACGTTAAATATTTTACACAATGAACCACCTTCGTCTTTTAATGAGTGTTTAACTTGCTCTTTTTCTTCTTTTTTGTAATCCAACAAACTTCTAAAAACAAAATATTTATTTCCAGTGTTCCAATATCGAAATGTGTTATTAAACTTACTTGTTCACAACCTTGCACAGTAGATAAGCCACATTTTCGCAATTTTTTTTCGATGCACAGAAAATTAAACACGAGCCTTCAGGAATAACTTCCATCACTAAAGCACCTAATTTGTCAGGATCAATACTGTTCATACCATCCGGATACTAAAAAAATTCATAAAACAAAATTTCAAAACCAGATAAAATAAATTACGCTGTGATCGATTTTTCGAACAACAGTCAACAACTCTTCTTCTTTTGGACTATAATTAATTTTGGCGACTTCTGGACCACATTTCACATATTCGACTAATTCAATGGGACGGAAATTTTGCGTATAAATATCAGCGTTGAGGAATTTACACAAATCGTTAACATTTCCGATTGTTGCACTCATTCCAACCACTTGGATATTGGCTACAATTTTTTATTACAAAAAACGAAGATAAAAAGTGGCATAATACCATTTATGTACATAATTTTCGTAAGTAAGGCTTCTAGGGTGGAACCACGTCCCGACTCTCCAACCAAGTGAAGCTCATCGACGACGATTAAACCGATTTCGTTGATACGCTCAGTCTCTATGAGACTGTTTAGTAATCCTAAAGCCTTTTCAATAGTTGCGATATAAATTGAGCGTTTTCGCCGACGTTTTCTGGGAGGGTATGTACCTTTACTAGCTGCGTACTCTTCAACTAGGAAGTCTAAGGCCACAGCAAACGGTGACAAAGCCCAGACCTGTCAATTTTTGGGTAAGAAACATCCGATTTGAAAAAATCACGTACTAGCCCAGTCAAATTAGACAAATCGGTGGAAAAAAATCCTAGAGTTGGATCTGTTTTAAACGCTTTCTTTATACTTGGGTAGACATACCAGGTGAATAAAAAGTATGGAACCAAGCGTTTTTTTCGTAAACTAAGCACTTTACGAAAAAAATAATTAGTGTAACGTAAAGTCCAATTAAAATGTGACCATTTATCTGGAATAAGATTTTTCGAAATTTTTTTTAGTTTTCGAGTTCTGGAAAAAAATTTGTTTTTTAAATGGCAACCAACCATGGTAATTTTTTAAATTAAAGATTATGATCTAAAAATGACCTCTAATTAAATAAAATTGTTTTTTGGCCAGAACTTTTTTTTTAATTAATTGTTAAAGTTGCGTTCCGAGCTCATCACGAAGATTTTTCGAACTTAACCGAAGTGGTTGTTTCATGCTTTTCATCATGGGAGAGCGCTGATTTCTATGCAGGTGCTTTGGGATGGTTTCGAATGGACTAAAAATATAAGAAAATGATTTGTTTTTACATTTTTTGATCCATCCGGAACCACCCCAAATCACCTGCACCAAAAACCGGGCTCTCCAACGACCAAAGTCATGAAACGACTCCCTCGTTCAAGTTCGGAAAATCTTTGTGATGGGCTCGGAACGCAACTTTAACAATTTATTAAAAAAAAAGTACTGACTAGAAAACAATTCTGTTTAATTAGAGGTCATTTTTAGATCATAATCTTTAATTAAAAAAATTACCATAGTGGGTTGCCACTTAAAAAAAAAAAATTTTCCAGAACTCGAAAACTAAAAGAAATTTCGAAAAATGTTATTATTGATAAATGGTCACATTTTAATTGGACTTTACGCTACACTAATTATTTTTTTTTTGTAAAGTGCTTAGTTTACGAAAAAAACGCTTGGTTCCATACTTTTTATTCACCTGGTATATCAAAAGTCCCCGAAGGTGGTGGGCGAGTTCGAGGAGGGGGAGGGGGTTAAAGGTGTCTTTTTTGTTTTGATTATATCTCGGAAATTATCACTCCTACAGGTTTTTATCTTCTTAGCAAAATTAAAGCTTACAAAATTTCCTACAAAAATGGTCCTTTGCATTTTTGTTGTAGGACTAACCGTAGGCTTCAAAAGTTTGGAGTCTACATAAAATTGCATTAAAAATCCTTTGAAACACATTTCATTAGTATATAGTAAGTATTTATATGTGTAGAGCGTTCCCCAACTAAGTTGGTATGGCTGAAAGGTGGTAAACATTTCAACGGAGATATAAATATCAATTTTGGATGAAAGAGAGAATCAATCTGTAAGGGGATTAAATGGGGTGTAAATGTTTAAACAGAGATATAAACATAACATTCTTTAGAGGTGTAAAGGGGCACTAAAATCAGATTTTTCGAAAATTAGTTTTTAAGGGAATGAAACGGTGTACACATTTAAAGGGATATAAAAACATTAAATTTAGAAAATATGATCCTTAGAGAGTGTAGAAGTGCACTTTTCAAATTTTAATTAAATAAAATAGGGTTTAAACGCTTAAAAACAAAATTAGAAACATGAAATTTCGAATTTTGAGAGTGCAGAAGTACACTGAGACGCCACTTTATGAAAATCAACATTTAATATTTATCCATAAACATAGCCCATGCGAAGAACGAGTCGACTATAACTGAATCCTATACATAAAATAGGTAATTATCTAGCTTTATAGAGTACCTAAGCCTATGGAATGGTTTTGTGAAAGGGGTTTTTTCCCATTTTATATCAGAAATACACGCGGACAAAGTCGCAGGCAAATGCTAGTTTAGCATATAAGGATGACCCGGAAGACTTAATAGACCCTCGTGGCACCCTCTAATAAACTGTAGGATCCAATACATCCAATTTAGTGTAAGCTTTATTCAAATCATCGATATTAACTCATCTATTTATTAATATTGTACTGAACAAGACTGTAATTCGGTTTTCAATGTTTCAATTGAAGACGAAGTTGCAGCATATGAGGACGACTGGGAAGACTTTATAGACTCTCTAATGAAGTGTTGCACCTAATAAATTCAATTTGCTTTCAGTTTTTTCAAATCACAAGATTAATTCTGTTTTATATGCGGATAAAGCACATTTTTTTAAATGACGTTTTTTTGTCAGCTCTGTAACTTGCTTACGGTTAGTCCTACAACAAAAATGCAAAGAACTATTTTTGTAGGAAATTTTGTAGGCTTTCATTTTGATAAGCAGGCAAAAATCGTCAGGAGTAATAGTTTCCGAAATATAAGCAAAAAAACAAAAAAAGACACCTTTAGCCCCCTCCCCCTCCTCGAGCTCGCCCCCCACCTTTGGGGACTTTTGATATATGTCTACCGAAAAATAATGAAAGCGTTTAAAAAAAATTCCAACTCTCTAGGATTTTTTTCCACCGATCGCCCTATTTTTGTCTAATTTGACTGGGCCATACCTTTTCTTGAACTATCGCAACGTAAGGTAAGATAAATAACGCATTTTTTTTCCGACACATAATTTCTTGAAGCATTAGAATCTCAGCTACGAGAGTTTTACCACCGCTTGTCGGGAGTGCGTAGATAAGGTTTCTGTGTTCTTTGATTGCTGGAAGCTTTAAACATTTGTCTTGCCAGTCTGCAAAAAAATGTGTGATTACTGAAGCACAAAAACTGAATCTTACCATATAATTCCTCAATCCCTTTATAGTTTTTTATTAATTCCTTAACCCTCAAAGGCAATCCGTAGAAAGGTCCAACTTCTGTAAATGTAGCACTTTCTTCCACAAGTGTTACATTTTTGGGTTTTTCCACCGGCACTATCTCTTTTGTAACATTAGATAAAAGCACTTGCTTTAAAGCCGTTGCAAAACTAGCATTTATTCCAGACATTGTAATTTCATTTTCATTCACACCAAACACATTCATTTTATCTGATCCCTCCACTGTTTGTGTTCCAAAAAGTGCTTCCAAAATTTTTGAAACATCTTTATCAACAGACTCAACATTTGTACCCATTACGCTGACCGAATGTTCAATTTGGTCGAAAAATGACTCGAATTCCTCACGATTATTCTCATTAAGTACATCTCCTAAATTCTCGCTTATTTTTGCACCCCACGTATTTTTCTCGCGTAAAACTGCGTTAGATTTGGCACCGGAGTTACTTTCCTTTGATAGTATGGTTTCAATCTGGTTCATGACTTGTGTACTATCAAACAACTGAGTTAATTGGGTTAGTAATGGCCTGTTTGGTGTTTCACTTGGGTTGTTGTGACTAGATTTTGGTTGCAAGGACTGATCACTCTTTGATCTTGAAGACTTTATTGTTGTTTTTTGTGTAGCGTCATTCATGTTTTGTTGAAATGCATTAACATCTTTATTATGTAAGGAATTATCGCTACATGAGCGAGTTGAAAGTACTTTACTTTTATTACAAGAGTTATCATGGTTCATTAGTAGCTGAGTTAGATTAATATCATCGAATAAAGTATCTTCAAGTGAATATTCTTCAAGCTTACATTTTTTATCAGTGTCTTTATTTGTTTCATCAGATAACCTTTTATTGGTCCTACCCATCTTGCAACCAATACGATTCTCTGTAGATTCCTCATCATCTACTCCTAAAATTAAGAAAAGTCGTGATGTATAACAAAGTGTATAATTAATAAGGCAAGCAAATAGCAGTCAACTAAAGACGAGTTTTGTAATATTACCTTTCTTATTTTTTGAAAGTGAAAGTACAGAAAACTTTTGACTTTTATTTTGAGTCAATTGCCTCCTAGGAACACTTGGTTGGGGAACCACAAATTCTTTAAAGTTGGAATTTGTTGGAACTAGAATAACTTTATTATAGTAACTTAAATAAGAATACAGAAGCAAAACCTGGATATGTTCTTTTAACAGGTTGTCTTAAGCTGTCCATATTGTTCCTCTGTTAAATATTAACCAACGACACTTCTCGCACCGCTATTATTACATTTACATGTCTTATTTTACTCAAAATGGCACAAAACTACAGACAAATCTCAAATTAAATCACAAAAAACTTTTAAACATGCTTTTTGTTTTGATTTTTGACAGACAGGCTAGGCAACCAACAATTTAGTAATTTACAATAGACACTAAAGCCGAGATGAATAAAAGTCATTATACATTTTTTTTTAATTTAAATAACAATTTAATAGCTAACAGGGTATTAAAACCAACGCAATAATAGGTTTAAAATATATTTCAGTAATAATAAAATTGATTTAGGCTTCGGGAAAATTAGCGTTTGTTACAAAAAGCGATTGTCAAAATTCTGTCGCCTGCGCAATAGATCCAACTGTAAATGTCAAAGAAATTTTAAAAGTCCTTGCAAAAAATTAATTCCTGGCTTAAATATCTCAAAATAAGAAAATTATAAACATTTAGTAACTTGGTATGTAACATTTAGGTATGTGTGATTATAATTAATACGTGTTTATTTTAAATTACATAATTATGAATCAAGAATTTGAATGTTCTAGAACTGATCAAGATCATTGGTTATGTGTTCTAGCATTCTTCCAAGTTGTTCTGCATTATCCTTGTGTTTCTTACACGTTTCTTATGGTCAACTTGTTGTATTTTACTTGCAGTGATCCTGTCATTATGGAAAATGCAGATAATGAAACGGCTGACAGTGAGGAAGTGAAATCGAGGGCTGTCGTAAAATATTCCGTACCAAAACCAGCTCAATTCATTAGATTGAAATGTAACACTGACTTAAATCTACCACCTTCAAATTGGTTAAGTAGTTCAGCGGACTCTTATGGCTTGCAGCATGTGCTTTACCATCAGAAAGGATTTTCAAGGTAAAAAACTTCTTTTAAAATTCACCTTGACAACATTTTGTTGCAGTTTCAGAATGGCTCACATGTTTCCTGACTGTGTGGGAGAAGTAGACGTGGTTTCTGATGCAGAAAACATAAAAAACCTTCTCAAAATACCTTACTGTAAAAATCACATCAGTATGATGGTTCACAGAGTTGAAAACACTCTTCTACTTGATGATTTTGACATTTATAAACATTTATTGAGAACTTCTGAAACTGAATGGAAATGGTTGAGAGAGTTCTTTTTTGAAAATGTCAATCACGAGACTTATGAAGAGGATAAGAATATGTACATCAAAAATAGGAGAAGGGAAACTTTACAACAGAAAAGCTTAGTTTCTAAATTTCTTTATCACAGTTTGGCTGAAGGTGATACGAATGAAAGTACGTGTTATGAGGATCCAAAAACCCTTCCTGTACCGCTACATGGACCTCAATTACCTGAACCAGTCTCTGCAACACCAGATCCTAAACCTTTTGATCATAATTATAACAGGAATGTTGTTTGGACTTTTGAAGACATTGAAATGCTGATAGGTAGGTATTTTTTCCTATTTCTAAAGCTAAGAACAAGAAATTTTATTTTTTATGCATAATTTGGAATCTATTCAAATAAAGTGGCAATTGTAAAACTGATTTAGTTATGTTATTAACAAAATATCTCGAAATTACTTTCTAAGTTTATTTTTTTTTGTAATTGACTGTAATATTAAAATTTTGTTTATTAATTGCTATGCAGGGTGAATATAAAGTATGGAACCAAGCGGTTTTATTTATAATCATTTGCCTCCAGAAAATAATTATATAAATTAAAGTAATATAAAAAATGTGATCGTATTTTCAGAACGAAATTTTGTTTTGTTTTTTAGTTATGCGATTTTTTTTGTGAAAATTGCAATTTATGTAAAAAAAAATTTTTGAAAAAATTAAATATAAAGCAGATAGTTGTAATCCTTAGAGTATAGTTTTTATGAGAAAAATGATTTTATAGTGGGTTGCCATTAAATTTTTTTTTTGTAGAACTCAAAAACAAAAGGAAATTTCGAAAAATTTTATTCTTGTTAAATCATCACATTTTTATAGTACTTTATCACTCATCAATTAGTTTTTTTTTTTTTTAATAAATAGTTTAAGGAAAAAACGTTTGGTTCCATACTTTTTATTATAATTTTGCTTCCAAATTGTAAAATAGGTGTTACTAGTAAAGTTAGGCAAGCAACAATACATTGTCGAAATAAAATATTTTTGCCAATTTAATTTTTATGTAAATGACGTTTTTGCAGGTACGGATTTGCCAATATTTGGTGGTGGAACTCACCCTTGCATCTCATTGCGCCTCCGAGACGTCAGCAAACCAATTAACGTGCTAACAGGCATCGATTATTGGTTAGATAATTTAATGTCGAACGTTCCAGAAGTCGTAATGTGTTATCACTTGAACGGCATTGTCCAAAAATACGAACTTATTAAAACCGAAGACTTACCTCGCTTAGACAATTCAAAATTTTCCCCTAAATTAATACGAGATGTTGCTCAAAGCATTTTATCATTTCTCAAATCAAATGCGACTAAAGCCGGCCACACTTATTGGCTATTTAAAGGAAAAGACGAAGAGGTTGTGAAATTATACGACTTGACTTCACTTTGCACAGAAAAAGATGTAGAAAATGGTCAAAATCCTTTCACAATACCTGTTGGTATGCTACTGTACAGGGTGGCGCGTAATATGAAACATACATCGGATCGGCAACCTGGCACAATCCGAATGTTGTTGAAAAACTGTGTTAAGTTACTACCGGAAGAGAAGTACCCGGAAGTGGTGACTTCGTCGCATTACATGTTGGCGGATTTGTACGTCCCGGCGGGGACCAATCCGGAAGCGCCAGGTTTAGAACATGAAGTTGACGAAAATGATGTTGAGTTTGACGATGACGATTTGATCGACGATAAGGAGTCAGCTACAAAAATTCTTGTTTTGGATCAGTGTGACTCTAGGGAAAAATTTGTAAATTATTATAAGTCACCACCGCCGATTATGGGAACAGTTGAAGAGCGGTGTCTACAAGCCGTCCATCATGTCGCAACTGGACTTAATTGTTTGCAGTACTTCCAACATCAAACTAGTAACAGTAGTAAAACAGAGGAGGAGGAGGAAGTTCCTATTGCTAAACCTTTTGAACCGATTCCGATGCCTTACGCGAAACTTGATGAATCGTCTGAGAGTCAGAAGAAACCAAAGAAGAGGGACAAGAGGAAGAAAAATGATAAGAATGAAAAAAGCGAAAATGCCTTACTTTTGAAAAACAATAACGAAGCTCAGCCTTTACCAACTTGGCAAAATGGTACCGGAAACATCTCATGGAAGGACCATTTGAAGACTTTACTTTATGAAAAAGCTGTTCTTGTTTATGCTATTTTGTCGGAACAACATTTCGGCGCGAGGAACTACGGGAATAGTTTGAGGACAATAGGGTTGTTGGCTAGGTGTCAATTGATAATGAACCGTCTTCTTTACAATTCCAATGCTTTGAAAGAGAACTGTTTGTTGGGCAGAGCCGGCGATTGCTGTATTATGATGATTCAAAATTGGGATAAAGTTGATATCTACCGGCAGCAGTTCCAAAACAACTCCGACGAGGACTTGAAATTAATGGAGCGACTCGAAAAAGACGAGCAATTGTACAACATCCACATCGGGGAGTCTAACATGAAGTGCGTTTTTATTTACGATATTCGCACAATCGAACAAATGCTTCTCAAAGGTGTAGAGTGTTACGAAGTAGCGTTGAAATCAAGCGAAAATGACAGTATTTTACGCCGATTGGGTAATAGTTTGAACGAAGTCGCATCGTTTTATTTGAATAAAGCCAAATCTGCGAAAACTAGCGAACTTACTGTCGAAATGTGCAAAAAGGCTGAACCGTACTTAACTCGAGGATTGACAGTTTTCGAGAAGGTCAAAGATGAGGCTAATATTGCACTTTTATACACAAATATGGGTCACATGCACCGCCTTTTAGCCCATGCTAACACGCCAGATAATCGCGGCGAGTTGAGTCAAAAAGAAAAGTTGCACTATAATAAGGCATTTATTAATTATAAGAAAGCGTTGCAAGTTTTGGGTGAGCGAAAACACTGTCCTGGGATTTGGGATGCCGTCAGGTGGGAACTGTCGACAGCGTTTTTCAACATGGGGACCATCATGCACGAGAATCCGCCCTCCAATCTCGTAAGTGTAAAAATATCACTACCCACAATTTTTTTTTTTAATGTGATTGATCTATTGACACGTGTATCAGGGTACATTAACATCCCTAATTACGAATTTGATAAGAAAAAGTCTCCATCACGTACAGATTTTAAGTTACAGGAAAATAGTTTTCTCAAATTTTATCGTAAAAATTGTTCATTTCAAATAGAAATTAATTAAATAGACGACGAAAGAAATTAATTTATTCACTAAACAAGAACAATGTTGAAAGATGTATACGATTCTAACATAAATCTGTTGTAGATGAGTTTTTTGCAAAAGCTGACATTCTTTTGTAGGGTGTTTTAACTTCTTTTATCAGGAACCCGCAGTAATCCCCCATCATAGCTGGATCCCATCTCCCTTGGTACCTTTTTTCCATCGTCAATATATCCTGGTGGAACCTTTCCCCTTGCTCGTCATTAACGGCACCCAAATTTGGGGGAAAAAAATTAAATGAGAAATGAGAAAATGAATTTTAAGTGTTTCGTTTTTCGGCGATTTTGTCGAACATACTTACATATGATATTTTAAAATGCCTAACTTGATTTTGACGTGCTATGGAATTTTCTTTATCATTTTTGAGTTTAGCACATAGAATTGAACAAATAATAACTGTTTTCTTCTCAGTCACAAAATGTTTGTTGGCTACTGTAATTAATAATAATAATTTATTCAGTTTTAAACAAACTGAAATTTTGTAGAAAAATAATTTACAAATATTTTATTCCTATCCTCAAAATCTATCCCTAAAAAAACGTATTGCCAACCTTAGAATATAAAAGTTACAAACTGCTGGGTGACTGAATGATTGTGACAAAAAATCAATTGGCAACACTGAGTTATTAATGATTTTTTTTAATCAGCTGAGAATTTTATAGTCAAAGTTGCCAAATTAAAATTTCAAATTTGTTGTCAAGTTGACGTCAAAAATCACAATAATTTACAGTAAGTATATTAAAAAAAATTAAAAAAATTGAAACGTTTAAGTTTGTTATTTGAAATCTATCCTTAAAAAAACGTATTGCCAATTTTAGACTATAAAAAATTGCACACTACGAGGTGACTATAAATGATTGTGACAAAAAATCAATTGGCAACACTGAACTAATAACGATTTTTCTAAGCTCTAATAAGAATATAATGTTTGAATTTTATAGTCACAGTTGCCAAATTAAAATTTCAAATTTGTTGTTAACCTAACGTCAAAAATCACAATCATTTACAGACACCCTGTATATTAAAAAAGTGGAAAAAATGAAACGTCTGAGTTTTTTATATAAAAATTAATAATAATAATTTGTTTTAATCAAACTGAAATTTTGTAGAAAAATAATTTACAAATATTTTATTCAACTTTAACGTTTATGAATTTTTCTCTTAGACGAAAGCCGAGGCGGAGAAGGAGGTCATTGAGGTGCTACAAAAAGCGCTTCTATATTGCGACTTTGATGAGGAAAATCCGAAGTATCCATTATATCAATATCGAGCGGCAATGATTCATTACCGGATCGGTTGTCTCTACCACAGTCACATCTGGACGGCAGATTCCGATTCAACTAACAGAAAAAACATTATACAATTAGCGAAAATTAATTACGAGAAAGCTTCCAAATATTATCTTCTAGCATCAGATGCAATTAGTTACTTCACGTCGCAAATGCAAAGAGTCGCACTGTTTGAATATCTCGGAGATAGTGAGTTGGATTGTGGAGGTCTGGTTTTGTATTAATTGTATTTGTTTGCAGCTGTTAACGCTCCGAATATCAAGATTAAGCATCTGCAGTACTGTTTGAGTGTGTTTATCGAGATCAACGAAATGGTTAAGCTTGTGGTTGAAAGGAAAGTTGATATACCGGAGGAAGGAGATGAAGAGAAAGAAGGGTTTAAAAGTTGCTACTCTTTGTTGAATCTTATAAAGCAACGATTACAGCACGTACTTAAAATGTTGGTTAAGTTATGTTTGACGAAACCTCCAGTTAACAAAGACTGTCCTAAATTAGGAGAAGTTTACAAAAGTTGTTACATGATAACGTTTGACTTGAAAGATGGAGTTAAATGTGATGAGTTCTTGAAAAAATTGCACTTTGTTCTTGTACAAATTAGCGACAAGATCGCTGAATTTAACAAAACTTTTGATTAACTGTAGTAATTTTATTTTTAATTACAGTTATGTTTTAAGTCCAAACTTGTTTAACTATTAAACTCATAGACTGATTGTAATTACTAGTAAGGTCCCCTTCAGAACACTTTGTTTCTTTAAGCATTTTGCCTTGCTTTTAAGGTAGGTATATTTAAAAAATTAATATTTTTCAAAGATTTCGAGGTATATTTAAAAAGCAGGTATTTCAAGGATTGTGTCTTCTTTTATAAGGTAGAAGGCATGCTATACAAACTCATCTAGATAACGATTTTGAAAGAAAATTCATGTAAATTATTAATAAATTAGGATTATTTGCGATTTTGCACACAATTACAATAATGGAAATGCTAACTTTTCTGCACCAGATTTGGTTTTATTCTTAACAGGTAAAACGGAGTAAAACCTTTTGGTAGTAAAATTGCACATTTTATTAATCCATACCATTTTGAATTATACGTAGGAGGTTTGAATATTTTAGTAGGATGTTAAAACATTGTACCTGTTGGATATAAACTGCAAATATCTATATAGGTAGTTCTATATGCTAATCCTTTATTGTTGCTATAACAGAGTAAAATCGCATTTAATCCTAATTTATTAATAAATACAGTTTTTACATCAATTTTCTTTTAAAATCGTTATCTAGATGAGCATGGTATAGCATGCTTTTTACCTTATAAAACAGGACACAATCCTTGAAATACCTGATTTTTAAATATATCTTTAAAATTAGGGGTAAATCTTTGAAAAATATTAATTTTTTGAATACACCTTAAAAGCAAGGCAAAATGCTTAAAAAAACAAAGTGTTCTGAAGGGGTCTTACTAGTAGTATTGTAGAAGAATTCAGTCGGCTGTTAGTGTTGGAATGAGATTTAAGTTCTGTGTGTACCTGTTGTGTGTACTTTAAGTTGAGATGTGGTTATTTGTAGTTTTTTTACCATCATTTTGGTGAGAATTTTTTCTTTACATCATTTGTATTGCTTTTTGTTTGAAACGTAAAAGTGAATATGTGATCTAATCAAACTGTCGTGGTCGATTCAATCTACATTTCTGTGATAGGTCAGTGTATTCTAAATAAAGTAAACAATTTTTATGTGTTAATATTTGTTTTTCTATATCTAATAAAAATACGTTGTCTGCTTTCTAATTATTTTATTTTTATTCCCGACTTCTGTTTTATGTCAGTGAAAAGATAAAAGTCCATAACCTATCTTAGATTATTTAAGTACAGTCTTTAACAAGATGTTTCAATGGAAAATTACTGTTATATGTCTCTTATACATTTGCATAGGACATTGTGTGATAGAGATAAGAGTTGAAGTGAAAGGTGTTTCAAAAAAGTTTGACCATTTTTGGGAAAGTACAGGTTTATGGTAAATAAAAAATGCCTTAAGGCTTTGCCTGACCTAGCTTTCCAGTCCACCTGATCCTAAAGACAAAATTTATAAATTTTTACTAAGTAATGAAGAAAAAATCAATTTAGCATTAATAGGGGCTTTGCCTAATCAAGGAATAAAACAAGTACGAATTCACTGGTTATTCAATTTAATTTTTATTGGGTGAGTGATATCTAGTGTATTTATTTTTACACCGTTATGTACAAGTCCTCTAATAGCCGTGATCGTCTAGTGGTTAGGACCCTACGTTGTGGCCGTAGTAACCCAGGTTCGAATCCTGGTCACGGCAATGTGTAAACATTGTCACGGTAGAGGCTTTTTTTCTTTTTCTTTCTTAGTTCAAAGTCTAATGAACATAATTTTACGTATTTGGATAATTTACTGGATTTTTTAACCGATCATGGGTTAAAACCAAGATTTGAACTAATGGGTTATCCCGTGGATTCAAACGAGTTTTTGTTAAATTCGGTGCCTGGAAAACAATTTTGGAGAGATTTAGTTCAAAAAATCGCAAGTAGATACGTTGGTGAGTAATTAAAGTGATTAAAATAAATAATTGATTGTTTAAATTTGTGGTAAATGATTTAACTTGAAGAAAACTTTTAGTATAGTGTAATTCATTTCGCGTAGAATTTCTAAGTAATTCCATTTGATATTCCTCTTTTTAGCACGGTTTGGTGTAAATGAAGTTGCGAGTTGGAAGTTTGAGTTGTGGAACGAGCCCGACTTAAAAAACTACAATATTTTAAAGTTTACTCTTGAAGGTGAATTAAACTGCAATGTTTCTGGTTTAAAGACCAATTTTTGTAGAGTATTTGTCGTATGTGGCGGGGTGCGCGGAAGGGTTAAGGGATGCATTTGATGGTAGAGGCGTGTCAGCGAGTTTGGGAGGACCTGCGGGGTTATTTAGAGAAGAAAACCACCCCCTGTGTTGGGGTCTTTTACAAGCCTGCTCTGCGAATTCCCACTGCCCTATACAATTCATTTCTTTTCACAGAAAGGGTGGCGGTACTGCCGAGGGAGTTTTAAATGGAACTTTAGAGTTATTGGATTTGCTACACAATAAGTTTCCCAATCTTGCTGAAATGCCAATAGCAAATGAGTAAGTAAACTTAAACTTCGCCTTCTAATGGCATTAATTTAAAAAAAAATCGACACTTTCTACAAATCCTTCATTAGCGAAGTTTTGTTTCCTTTTCGAACAACAATATCAACAATTCGCTTTCCGTCCGATAAATTGACACAACTAATTTCGAAATCGATTCCCGCTTCCGGATCCACAAACCAAACAAAGGAATTTGGAGAGGGAAAAGGCAAAAAACATGGCCTCACAACCCACCTGTATCAATTTCTAGGAACTGTAATAAACGTGCTACAAAATGTATTAATTGCGGTGTATTTAAGGGGGGTTAGATTACAAATATCTGTGTTTAGATCAGGGGGTTGTAATTAGCTGATGATTGTAATTGCTGCAGTTTCGTGTGATTAATGTTATCGCTAATCTGGTTTATCTGCAGGGGATTCAATTTAGTATTATGTTTCTCGTATGTACAACTTCAAATATATTACTTAGAAATGTAAGCTAATTACATAGTTTATCAATAAAAGACGAGACCCAAAGGAAGTTAATTTATCGGGAGCAAATTTACTTTGATCTTAATGTAAAGCGACTGTTTTGTTTGTTAACTATTATAACTAACTTGTCAAATTCAGGAGACCAGGTATATCAAACTTGACTGTTAAAATGTTACAGGTATCGTTTTCGACGCTTTTTACCTTACAAGTTTACACAAATCAAAGTGATCCTTTACGACTCACTTCTTTTAGAGAGTGTATTTTGCGATACATGTTTATAGGAAGATTTTTCTTAAAACTGAATATTTTATTGCTTAATTAAATTTCATAAAAAGGAAACATTCTGTATATATGTATATTAAGTGATATTTGCTTTTAAATAAAAAAAATATAGTAAAATACAGCGTTATTCATGAGAGTGCAACGCATAATACATATTGCAACAATTTCTTGATTTCAAATTTTGAAAATAATTAAAACTGAATTCACGATGGCTATTACTTGTTTTTACTATTTGACATTAAAGCCAAAAATCAACCCTCAAACGATGCGATATTTTACTAAAACACCTTTCACATTAACTTAATTTGTTAATTTACTTGTTGAATTTTGATTAAATACAGAGGTTTTTTGTTAATCTGACATTTCTAGCACATCTATCTAACTTATTTTGCTTTCTAATTTAAAACTTTTGTGTATAAAGTAATTACTTGGAAATGCCCACTCTACCAGTGCATCTTTTTTTTTCTTTTTTTTCTATTTTATTTCTTCTAAAAAGTACATACCAGGTGAATAAAAAGTATGGAACCAAACATTTTTTGCTTACACTATTTATTTTTTGAAAAAACTAATTGATGAGTGATAAAGTACTATAAAAATGTGATGATTTAACAAGAATAAAATTTTTCGAAATTTCCTTTTGTTTTTGAGTTATACAAAAAAAAATATTTTTTTAAATTTCAACCCACTATAAAATCATTTTTCTCATAAAAGCTATACTCTAAGGATTACAACTATCCGCTATACATTAAATTAAAAAAAAAAAATTTTTACATAAATTGCAATTTTGACAAAAAAATATCGCATAACTCAAAAACAAAACAAAATTTCTTTCTGAAAATACGATCACATTTTTTATATTACTTTAATTTATATTAATTTTTATTTTCTGGAGGCAAATGATTAAAAATAAAACCGCATGGTTCCATACTTTATATTTACCCTGTATAGCAATTAATAAACAAAATTGTACTAAAAATAATGCAAAGTATTGTATACAGGATGCGCCAGAACTCGCGTCCCAGAGAAAAATATCATATAAGGTAAGATACCAGGAACATGGAAAAAAAGTGAATAAAATTCTATCTATAAAAATTTCGAAGTTATGAGAGTTTAAATTTTGCAATTTGTTCATTGTTATTTATGGCTTTTATTGGTAAAATTTTTGTACCTTTACTAAATAATTGTAAAAAAAACATTTTTCTCTGGGGCGCGAGTTCACATACATACCTGTATGTATAATAATTTTTATTCTATCTTAACTATGTAGTGTACCTATTTACGGATTAATTCTTTGTTTACGTGTATAAGGTTTAATCGTGTGTAGATAATCACTGTTATTGAATATTGAATATACAATGATATCAGCTATTTTGATGTAGCCTGTTAAACTGCATTTGAAACACACTTTTTTATTTCAAGTTGAAAAAACAAATAAATGTGTTCTTAGAACCGGTTCATGAGAAGCAAACTTGAAATTTAATCTATAATTTTTGCTTAAATTTGCATTACGCTTGGACTGAAATCATGAGAATGCAAGTCTTCTACATATGAGTAAAACTGTAAAAAAAAAAGTTTGCAAAATACCGTGTGTGTTAAAATTTATTACCACACATACAGGGCTTTCATTTCAAAAGGATCCAGTCTCAATAACTTTTGACATTGAGTAAATGTATTTTCAAGCAAAAATTGCGAGGGGGGAGTTTAAAACCAACATTAGTTACATTTTAGGTTTCATCCCCCAACGTTAGCCACCCCTACTTTAAAATTTTAAATGGCATCTCCTACTTTTTGAAACATTTTTGGAAAGGGAAAAAATGAGCGTATCTAACTGTCAAAGAAAAACATATTTTTGGTCCATTCGTTTTTTTTTTTTCAGTTAAGGGTAGTTTTGTTTTTAAAATTTTTAGTTCTAGTAGCTTTTGATTGAACTCAGTTATTACAATTGAGTAATGTTAGTTCTGAACTTCATTCTCGCGATCCTAATCGACCTGTTTTTTCTCAAAGCAATTTTAATTTTACATATTTAAAGCGTCTCCACTTTGCAGTAGTAAAAAATTATGGCACTGATTAGTTTCACGGTCAACTAATAACACACATTGTTTTTATTAATGTCTGCAATTTTATGTAGTTTCTGCTTAATAAAACTACTACTACTTTTTCTATTAGTACACTTTAGAAACTTAACGAAACTAGACAAAATATTAATGCAGTGTTAGTAGTGAAGTTACTTTTTTCCTTAAGCTTGGTTACTTTTACGACTTTCCTCAGGCAAAATCGTTGCTATCTCCTTCTGCGACACAAATTTAAACGCTCGCTAATCTCTTACAAGAATTTAATTAGTTTTGTTGTCGAGGTGGTTCTTTATGGCTATTGCATGTGAGAGTGCAAGCGTAGCAAATAAATTTCGGTGAATTATCTTGAAAATAATCGATTCGAATTTATAGTGAGTCGGACATCATAACCACTTGGTCCGATAGCTGGGAGTGGCGAGGAGATGCAAGATATGCAGCGATGGTGGTGAAAGTAATAGCCGAACACTATAAATCATTGACTTTGTCTAGAAAATTGAAAATAGAATTGTTAAGCTTCGATAACGGCTTTCTAAATTACCACCCATTCTATTTCACACAAAGAACCCTGTTTGCACGGTATGATTAGTGTTTTCATTTTTACGTTCCCATTCTAAATCTTCTTTAATCAGATTTCAGATGAATCACACCGACCCCCCTCACAGCCAATTTATTAAAAAGCCGGTGTATGTGGTGATGGCTTTGTTGTCTCTTCTAGGCGACGAATATTTAGCCGGAGGAATGAATTCGAATGATTCAATGTTAACAGTTTTGACTACCAGGACATCAGATATTAATCAATCAAATGTGGGAATCCTTGTAGCGTATGCCGACAGTGACGAGGTCAATATTGAAACTATCAAATCCGTCAGGCTTTGTATTAATAATCTATCGATCGGCAGCAGATTTGTTGTTTATTTACTGGATAATATCCTAACTAATCCCTACAGATTCTGGCATAAGCTGGGAAGACCCGTTTTTCCGCCTAAATTCCTGCGACAGCAGCTCAGAGAGCAGGAGGTAAAAGCTCGTCTCTTTTCTAGACAATATTCTATTATTTGAACTAAATTTAATCTAAAATTTATTGAAACAGCGCAAGTCGTGTTTCAATAGTGAAACTAATTTTGAATTAACTAAAAGTTAGTTCGGCTTTTATAAAGTCTGTAAACCTTTGCAGAACTTATAATTTAAGACACTTGCATTTGATTCAATTACATAATGTATTATAAATTTATGTCGGGTAAGTTTCAGCACGCGAACTTCGAAATGCATTACAATAAATTCAGACGGACGGTATTTGCATTTAAATAATTTTGAAAAGTTTTCTTTTATTGGTGCAGGTACTAAAATAAAAAGATAATTATTTACTTTTGAAAGCACTGCAATGGAACGTAATTGTTTTTGCAGGCTTTCAACACTTTAACTTTCTTACTTAACGGACACAAAGTAGATGTTGGACGCCAACTTCTTGATGAGAAATTTATGGCACATAAAAGAAGTTATAATGACCGAATTGACATCCGTCCATTAATATTTTAGAGCGCCCTTGTGATGTCAGTAATTTCCTTGTTGTGTGTTACACGAACAAAACGATATTAATTAAACCCTGATTGATGAATTTGTGACAGTGATTCAACACAATGATTTATTCATTGCTAATATAGCTCGACTGTAATATTTGAAAATTGCAAATTTGAAATATTCGTATTCTGGCTATAATATTTCTAAAAATCTGTAATTTCTGAATTTAATTTTTGGATGCAAGATACAGCGTACCATTTACTCGGGTGGTTTTTTGAACCATTATTCTCAAAACTGCAAATAAAAATGTTGTATCAACCATTTTTGGGTTAATATAACTCTTAAAAAATGAAAATTTAATATTATTTTTTCATGAATAGCCGAGGTAATTTTGTGTTAAAAGAAACGGTTAAACGCTTAAAATATCTGAACTTATAGTTGCTTATTATACAAGACGATAAAGAAATTGTTTATCTACGAGTGAAAAGGTTAAGTTTACGAGTGACGAAGTCACGAGTGGACTTTTTTCACAAGTAGATAAAGAATATTTATCGTCGTGTATAATAATTCGTTTTATTTTTTACTCACCTACCAGAATTTCTTGAATATAATCAGTAGACAAAAATTACTTTATTTCACTAGACGATAATGGACTACTTTATCTACTGAAATTAGTTGATAAAAAATAAATAGTAGATAAAAATTACTTTGTTTCACTAGACGGTAAAAGACTGCTTTATCTACTGAAATTACTCACTCTTTAACATTGAGTACAAATTAAAAAATATTTTTTAGCTTGTTCGATTTTTTTTAACTTTAAAAGATAGTAACTACATATTTCTTTTATAATTAAATAAAACTACAGTCAACGTAAGATTGCTATTGAAAAATTGTTAACAAATATGTTAAGTTCTGATATTGTAAATAAGTGAGATAAACTCATGTCATATTTTTTTATTTTTTCGAAAATATTTTGTTTGTATTTTGTATTTCAAAAATTTAAACAACGTTTTGAGTGTTTACGCTACTAAACTTTTTATTAATTAGTTGACTTTTTGAAAAGTTAACAATATTTAAAAATCTGATTTTAAAAGAGCTTTATTTTTTACTTGTTTGTTAAGTTAATTGAAATTTAACATGAGATTTTACCCTTTTGATTCGATGTCACCATATTCGCTTATAAATGGAAACGTACATTTTTCATATTCGGCTATTGAATGAATTTATTTTTCATTAGGGTCCATATCGCCTATTTGAGCCAACGAGCATTTCAACAAAAACCTCAATATGGCTCTTAATTTAACCGTCCCCAGCGTAGCATTGATACATATTTGTTCAAAAATTTGTATTCTGGCTATAATATTTCTAAAAATCTGTAATTTGTGAATTTAATTTTTGGATGCTGCGTTTTCAAAAAGACCGTACCATTATTCGGGTGGTTTTTTGAACCATTGTTCTCAAAACTGCAAATAAAGATGTTGTATCAATCTTCTTTGGGTAGATATAACTCTTCAAAAATCCAAATTTAATATTATTTTTTTGTGAATTAGGGGAGGTAATTTTGTGTTAAGAGAGACGGTTAAACACACTTAAAATATCTAAACTTACTTTATTCTATTTTTTTTAACTTTAAAAGATTGTAACTACATATTTCTTTTATTATTAAATAAAACTACCAGTCAACGTAAGATTGCTATTGAAAAATTGTTAACAAATATTTTAAGTTCTGATATTGTAAATAAGTGAGATAAACTGATGTCGTAAATTTTTATTCTTTCGAAAATATATTGTTTGTATTTTGTATTTCAAAAATTTAACCAACGTTTTGAGTGTTTACGCTACTAAACTTTGTTAATTTGGTGACTCTACAATATTTAAAAATCTGATTTTAAAAGTTGTTTACTTGTTTATTATATTAATTGAAATTTAATATGAGTTTTTACCCTCTTGATTCGTCACCATATTGGCGTATAAATGGAAACGTAAATTTTTCAGATTCCGCTATTGAATGAATTTATTTTTCATTAGGGTCCATATCGCCTATTTGAGCCAACGAGCATTTCAACAAAAAACCTCAATATCGCTCTTAATTTAACCGTCCCCAGCGTAGCATTGATACATATTTGTTCAAAACCATCATCAAGTCCAGGCCCTGTGACAAAATTATCAATTTCCAACGTAACACGAAATGAAATTTTATTAACTTGGAGCGACGCTAAAATTGATACAAAGTGAGTACTTACAGGAATTTAAGCAATATTTATGATTATTCAGGACGTGAGTTATAACATTCGATTGTATTTGCTAAATGATAGTGCTTTTAAGTTTCAACTTTTCCCATTGAAAAGTCCGAAAATTGCCAAAATAATTCTTTGGTTTGTTTTCTTCTTTTGCGTGTTTCAGGTGTATCCGCACGTACGAAGTGGAATTCGAGTCGAAATGCGCCAACAGCTTGCGTTTCAAACGAGTGAATACAAATGATGTAATATTTCTTTCGTATCATCATGCACCGACAGGTAAATGATGCAGAAACTATTTAATTAACAGCATAGGTTACCACGAAATGCATTAATTACGTTGGCCACGACGCACTTGCTTGTGACAGATACTTATCAATGCTCACCCGACTGAATCAAACCTGAAACAAATGATAACGCTTTTAATCTAAAACCTATTTCAGCACTTCTGTCAACTGGTGCTGCTACACTCTTTCATATGGCATATGTCTTGTCGGCTGTGACAAATTTTACGCATTTTAATACTTGTGTTGGAGTATCACTCAAGTTTTCTGCTAAAATAATAAAGAATGCATTGTGGCTTATTTTTTAATTTTAAAATATAAAAGCTTTCAAGCTCATAGAAAATTCCACTTTAGTATTCCACATGAAAACTTTTCCATTTTTCAATTTACGTCACCACTAAAAAGTATCGGTCCATTATCACTTCTTTACAATCACAAGCTTTATAAACAAAACTCGAGTCTGTTCAATGTCTTGAATCAATATCGAGGATTTACCCGGTTCGAATTGATGGTTTCATGAAAATACGACTAGATATACAGGCTGTTCGGTCCAAGGCCGATAACAAATAAACTTACTTTTTTTTTCAAAAACTAAATTTTCAAATATTACTATTTATTCCTAGCCGGAAATGCTACCAAATTTAGTTTGTCAAATGGAACACCTATGTTTTTTTTCCTCGAAACCATAACAATTGGTTGAAAAATACGGTAAACCACTATTTATTACATTTTACTTTACATGATGCACTTAGAAAACAATTTAAATTTTAGAATTGTATTAGCAAATTTTGCAATGTAGGCAGATTTTACCTGTCAAGGTATTCATGCAAAAAGCAAGCTTGGATACCTTTTAATTGTTAGTTTGACAAAGCCTAATTTGTCAATAAATCTATAATAATGGATGATATTAATTACGACGAATTGGTAGATCAGCTTGAAGTGTTTTTTAAGTGCAATAAAAACACAGCGGAAGCTAAAAGACAGTATAGAGAAAAATACTGAAATAGAGTTCACTCAAATCGTTGGAAATTTACTCGAATTGAAATACAACTGAGACGAATAGGTTCGCTTCTTAAAACTAAAAAACCTGTGGTTCTTAGTGAAGAACAAGAAAATAGAAATTTGAATGTTCTGTTATCAGTCGAAGAAAATCCAAGAGTTTCCATAAGAGAACTCGCTCATCAACTGACAAATTAGATTTGTCAAACCAACAATTAAACTGTATCCAACCATTTTTTTATTCACACCTTTCTTTTAAAATTAAAAATCAATCAGTTATAAGATTCTAAGATTTAAGATGTTTTTTGATTGCATTGTGTCACTCAAAATATGTAATAAATAGTGGTTTTCCTACGACCATATACGAAACTAGATCATAACGCACAATTACATATGCGCGAAAATTGGCAATATCGTTCGAGGTCAAAAACCTGTGCGATTTGTTTTCGCGCTGTGTGTTAGAAATCTAACGCACAATTCACATTCGAATGTTTTGTATTTTTTCATTCAACGTATTTTTTTTTTGTATCCATTATAAAAAATAAATCGTTATTCAACGTATTTTTGTATCCATTATAAAAAATAAATCGTTATGAAAAAAAATATGTTCGTAAGAAAAAAATTATTAATGGTCGTAGGAAAAATAGTGTACAAAACTTGCAGAAAAGTGTCTAACGCACTCGTGGGATTGCCTGCACTCGGCTGACGCCTCGTGCGCAACTTTCCCGCTTGTGCGTTATTTATCACTTTCCGTGCTCGTTATGTAATATACTATTACAGTATTTTTCAAGTCAATTATTATTGTTTGGAGGAAAAAAAACATAGGTGTTCCATTTGAAAAACTAAGTTTAGTAGCATTTCCATTAACACCGAATGTGCTAAAAAAATTTGATACATTTATTAACAAGGACAAGAATGAATATTATTACTTAAATATTTACTTTTTGAAAAAAAGAAGTAAGTTTAGGTGTTATCAGTCGGGGCGACTTGGACCGCACACCCTGTATATTGTGCGTTCGAGTTGCGAAGCCCGTAAAGTAAGTGGAGTTTATTTTACGAGAGGTTTATTTCAGGTGATGGAGCGTGTGAGACGACCATCGGCAGGTACCGAGTTCGTGCAGTGGACTATTGGGACCAGCCAGGGATCTATTCCAAAATCGTTTCCTTTCCTTAACTACGCTACATAAAATGTTAAACGCTTCTAAACGCTCGACCCATTAGGGAAATTATATCTTTAACTGAATAAACCATTCTTATTTGATCCGTTAAGTTTTTCTTTTATCGCCCGGCGCATCCACCATTTTTGAACTAGTCATAAAAGCAATTTTACATGACAGTTTGAAGTATATATGGTCGTAATGTTGCGGATATATTTTGACTGCAATTTTTGTTAAATGTTTGATTATTCTTGCGCAATCTTGCGAATCGGATTTGTTATTGGAAATGCCAGTTCAGTGTCACGATATAAATCACCAGAAAAATCATTTTATTCTATTTGCGTGCACATTATTTACGGTTTAATGTATTTTGAAATGAATTTGTGAAACATTTTTAACATTATCTATTTGTGTTGCTAATTTTGCTTTACTAAATAGCTATTTTTGTATTAAGGGCGTGAAGGGCCTAGGGTTTATAAGACGCCAAAGGGCCAAAATTGCCGTTCACGCCCGAAATGCAAATAAGATTTTTTGTAAAATCCACTTTTAAGCTTTGAAAACAAATGGCACGATTCGTTCTCAAAAATCGAGTTGTTGTTGGTTGCTAATGTGATGCAAACAAAATACTGAAAAAATTATTGACGTGTTTTTTCAAGAAGTTGAATTTGTGATAAAAATATGTCCGAAAACGAAAAACAAGAAGAAATAGCTATTTTAGCTGAAGAAGCGAAAGCTGTAACACTTGAGTTATTGCTACGAAAATCAAGAGAAATCTATGAAAAAACTTTCAATGAACTTTTGCTATGGTGCACCCAGAAAAATATCGCTGACCGCCAGATTAATGAAAACATTTTACTTGTTTATTTCAAAGAAGAGTCGCAGAAATTTTGCCCATCTACCTTATGGTCCCATTATTTTATGATTCGTTCGGTTATGGTTTTGGTATCGATATAAAACAATATAAGCTTTTATATGCATAGCTAATTGTTTGTAACAACCTATTTCAATAAAAGATATTACAATTGCTGGTTTTTTAAGACCTTGGGCGCAAAAGACACTATTTACGCCCGCAAATTAATGCATAAATGACCTAATTTTAAAACGATTTTACAAAAAATGATTTTAGTTGATTGAACTCTTTTGTACGCACACTTTACCCGAACCTTGAAACTTGGCCACGTTAAATTGTCTTCGTAAACAAAGCGACCATAAAATTTTATGACCAACTCCACAACTCTTGATTAAAGTAAATTTAATATATGCTTGTAGAATAAATTTCTGATGAAGTTATTCGTAAGTCATGTTGTAGCAAACATTTTATAGCAGTGAGCAGCAAAAGTTTAGATTTTTTAGTACACATTAAAATAATGCTTCAAAGTATTGCTTAGTTTAAATACATTGTTACCACTCAAAACTTTTTTTTAGATAAAATTCTTGCGCGGAATTTAGTTGTGGGCTTGGCATCGTGTATTTTGTTTATTATTTTGAGTAAAGCTTAAATTTTGTACGAGTTGACGTGCAAGTTTTGTTCGGTTCATTGTCAGAGTGTGGTTTAAATAATGTAATTCGTGGTGTTAAAAAGCTGGAACACATTTTACAGTCGTTTGCGGCGTGTTAATAAATAATACTGCCCGAAATTTTTTTCCCTCAATTTATGCAAACTGTGTCCGCGTGCGCAACTCAGGTATGTGTATAAATTATTCTTCGCGGTGTCCGCCCACGTTCGCCTCCAGCATGTTTGTTTATCGCCGCTCCGGAGACGCGGTTACCGTCTCTGCATATTCATAAACCACCTCTCGACAAAGAGACCACATTGGCATATTGAGTGCACAATGCCTTTTACTAAATTACTCGCCTTCATTACCCTCAATTCGTACATTTCTAAAGCGCTACAATCGCAACCATAAACCGGTAGACTACTTTCAGAGTTAAACTCTACAAATATTTGCACAAAGTGGTTTTTAATTCCACTTTAATAATGAGCTTAATCGAAAAATGTTCAAAAACAAAAATCGAATAAAAGTTATTCTAACACAGATTATTTTCTAGAATTACAGTTAAATTTAAAATAAAGTGAGTATGATTATGAATAAGGCTCGGATTATATTCACGAAAAATCTGTAAAATATGCGTGTATATATGCATGTATTTTCACAAAAATATGCACAAAATATTAAGAAATATGCTCGAATATACTCCTATGCAAAATATGCATCGATATGCAAAACTTTTAACAATAAAAAATCAAAGTTGGAATAAATTTTTATCCTCGAGTACACTAATGTTTGTATTTTCGGCATCTTGAACCGCACACGAGAACGGAAGAGAATAAATAAATTGGTAAAAACTGATTGATTAAATGTTTTATCAAGAATAAATTTTTCGAATTTTTTGTTTTTGAGTTCTACAAAAAATTATTTTTTTTAAAATAGCAATCCACTAAAAAAATGTTTTGTTTACTTTCCCAAAAACAACTGTGTTAGAGACTATCTACTTTTTATTAATTTAAAAAAAAATACATAAAATACAATTATGACAAAAAAATCGCATAACTCAAAGCAAAACAAAATTTCGTTTTGAAAATACGATCAGATTTTTTATATTACTTTATTTTATAATTATTATTATTTTCCAGAGGCATATAATTTCAAAAAACCGTTTGGTTCTAAACTCAGCAGGATACTAATTCTTTAAGTCCGGCTTACGAATTACTGATTGTTTTCTCTTTATAATATTTTGTAATCGGGTCATTTTTCTTAAACTGGCTAATTTTTAACTTGAACTGAAATTTTTAATCGGAAATTTGTTATTTGAAGAAAATATGCACAAATATGCATTATTTCCTAAAATATTCATTTTTTAATTGGCTTATTTTAATCAAAAAACATTAGACATGCATAGAAAACTTACAATTTTGTTAATAACAAATATGCATTTTGAATACAGGGTGTCTCACATAACTTTACGAGGCTTGCGCCTAATGTACGCAGCCAAATATACAAAAGTCACAAAACACTGAATACAAAAAATACAGATCTCATTATTTAATTTTTGGAAACCCATGACAGTAGTTGTCAAACCATTGTCAAGCTAATCACGGTTTCATTAATAGTCATAAACTGCAGTTTTTCAGAAACAATTATCATTTGTTCTATCAAGAGACGGCATGAATATAATTCTAGTTTATCTATCTTAATCACTAACTAACTAAAAACGTTGTAATTTTTTAAAGGGTGAACAAACTAGAGAAGATTATCCAAATTTTCAAAATTTGTAATCGAATATGTATTATTGATTGCATCTTGCAGGCGCAGGCCTCGTAAAATTATGTGAAACACTCTGTATAATCCGAGCCTTAATTATGAATAACTCTTTCGGTTACATTTTAATTGTTTACCTTATAAAACCTTAAGGTGGATTGAACGTTTTTATCGATATTACAGCGTCTACTGAAATATCCATAGTTTGTAACACTAAGCCAACAAATAAAATGAATAAGTTAAAATTTTCCTCAAACTGTGCACCGACAGGCAATCTTTCAGTCGGGAAGTAAAGAACGAAACCAGAAAAACATACAAAAAGATTCACAAGATAAATAACATAGATTGAGTGAAATGTCGACTCGATTGTGCGGACTGGATTTTAGAGTTTATAGACAAGAGGAGGGTCACTTGAATTTACTGCAACTACAAGAGTCTAATGAATTGGTTTGCATTAAAAATTTAATTTGTGTTTACTACTTAGTATTCGATTTGCGTCGATACAAATATCGCTGATCTATATTTTGTGTGGAATGAATTATAACATAAATATCCGGAGGACCTACTATTCCTGATATTTACGTTGCAAGTTTCGTGAATACGATTTAAATAAATTATATCGACGATGACTGATCTGTATCACAGAAGTTTCCCAAAAAGGGGTTTATTGTGATGTATTTATACTTATTTCCTGTTCGTGCTGAGGCCACTGCGTACGCTCTTAAAACCGCGTATAAAATGACAACTCTTGCTTTCCTGTTATTGTATTTTCGTGCCCGAAATGTAATACAAACTGCAATAAAAGTACTGCAAACTCAAACACCTGTCACATAAACATTTGATTGTTGGCTCATAAATTGATTTGCGTGTGGAGCACATTCGAGGATTCTCTCACACGGAAATTGGAGAGTTTTACCATTAATGCAATTAAATTATGTCTCTTTGGAGAATTTGAATTCTGAAACTGAAATATTTTCAAGTCGGTGTGGTTTCATACAGTAGTAACATATGAATGCTTTCAAAGCGAACAAGCAGCCGTTGTGAATGGAAGCACCTGTGCAGGTATGCTAGCAGGAAATAAATAAGCTGTCCATGCATGCCTTTGCCGAGGCCGCAACCGATATTTTGAATCCTGTCGACAGAAAGTTGAATTCAGAGAAAAGCCAACACATGTTTATACCGGATTCGGTCGTTGCAGTGACGTCACGTGGAGTATTAGTCATTGATTGGCTACGTGACATCGACTCCATTCAGTAGCTTGAAATTAATTGGTTGCATTTACAAGCAAAGTACATTATACCGCCTGTCAAGCTTTAAACTACTGACGTCACTTTCGTGCATACTAATTAGGCTACACCTTGGAATTCTGTTACATTTCCTGTCGTTAAATATTTTTGTCGTCGAGTTCTCGTTTTGCTTTAACTAAATTACCTTTGGTACATACTGCGAAATGTGCGAATCGTGTACCAATAGCTCGTAAAGGACTATAAACTGAAAGTCAACGTTACGGTTATTTCGAGAAAGTTTTGATGATCGCAAAGTTTACATGATGCGCTAAACAACACAATACGTCGTTTTGTGATTATTTGACCATTGCAGGAAGTTTTATTCGATCTATTTCCGGTTCAGACATCTATTTTGCACTTTGTTTTTCGAACGTCTTTTGTTTTCTAGATACATTTTGGCGCTGACTGATTTAATTAAGGCTATTCTGCTTCAAACAAACTATACCATTTTTTTGTTCTTTTTATAAAAGTAATTAACAAAATAACAAACTTAAAAATAGACAATAAACAAGATCTGTTGTTTATAGAAGATGTTTATTTAAATTTGGCGTCATAGTTGGCGGTGATAGGAGTGTGTTGTGAACGGACCACAATTTTTAATACGACCGGCAAGGTGCCAAATGTCAAATTAATAATTCTCAATACGATGCGTGATAGTTTGTTCACAATCGAACTTTCATGCATAGCTTTGACGCCAAATTTAAATAAAATTATTTGCTTTTTGTAAAGAAGTTTTATTTTTATTTTCCTTTGTTATTTGGTACAACTTAACCAAAATATATAAATTCAATTTTTCAAAGTATACTATGTGTTTTTGATTTAAGAAGAGATAACAATGCTATTTTTGTAATAAATGTTTGTCAATGTATTATTTCAAACTTAATAATTTAATTTAACCAAATTTTAAATACCTAGTGTGTCAACCATATCAGATTTCATACATTTATCTTTCTTTATCAAATTGAGGATTTTTTGTACTTGTAATTTGTAGAAAGAAGAAAAAAGGAAATAGGGTAAACTATGATGGATTTTGTAGTTTTTGTTGGGAGTATTATACAGAAAACAGAAAGTAAGCTTTTCCACCCTAATTTCAGAAAGCAAAGTGGCTAATTACGTCTCTCACCTGTCAGAATTATGTTAAAAAGATATGTAACCTCTCAGGTTAAAATGAAAAAAATTAAAAATTAGTATTTTACCCCCTCATAGAAACGGAAAAACATGCTGCTAGATTTAGTGGTAAAACTGGAATATCAAGAAAAATTGTTGTTTTTAAAGTTTTTCCTGCTGGATCGTAGAAAATTTTTTATGTATATCACTGGAGGAAAGTTTCTCCTTGGGTGATTATTGCTTTCGACAAGTCTCGGACAATAACTTCTACCTGTGGAAGCAAAAAAAAAAATATATACACTTTTCTTCTTTGTGATGCAAATAACTATTAGTTACTGAGATATTGCTTAATAAAAACACTATTTAACTTTTAAATTTTAAATAATACTAAGGTTATCATTTGATCAAGGTTGGTATACTGGTAGACATCGACTTCCTTAATTTGACATTAAATAGTGACTATACTTGAAAAAAAGATATAAATTTAAATGCAAAATAAGTTAAATGAAACTTTTTTGTATGCGTGTACAGAAGTAATCCCATAATAATTTACAAAAATTAAAACAATCCTTTAAAAAAAAAACAAAAAAAATCGAAAAAATCGACAATTTTAAAGGAACTATTGAGTTATTTAGATTTAGGTCGTGCTTATGGAGAGCAATGAATATGGACAACCTGAAATGGGTATTGAAAATGATGGACATTTTAAATAGTTTCCTTAAAGTTTTTGTGTTTTTTACTGAAAAGGACTGTTTCAATTTCTTGCGTTTTACTTATTGTAAATCAAAACTTTTTTTTTCATTATCACTATCAAATATAATTATTAAGGAAGTCAGTGTCTACCAGTATAATACTGAGGTTGGTCACAATGATGATAATCTTATTTAACATTTTTAAAGTGAATAGTGTTTTTATGACGCAATATCTCGGTAACTAAAAAACTTTTACTAAACCTTTTTCTCACTATTTTTTGTCACTGTGCAAGAACTATAATTCTTTAAGTTTGTGCCTATAAGTTAAGACTCACTCTGTATAATTCTTTTTTTAGAAAATTGGGAAAACCAATTTATAATTTTGACAGCTTTGACATTTATTTATTTTTACCAAAATACTGAAAGTGTTTACAATTACAACATTGTTTATTAATGATATTTGTTAATGAATAAATTAGTACACGTTAATGGTACCAGTAAATAAAGTAATCACCAAAAAATTACATAAACTAACTAATGGAAATTGGCATTAAAATTATGATATCTAAATATTGTAATAAAAAGAAACAGGAATTGATTGAATACGTAATAAACTGTCAACACTTTAGAACAGATATTTATAAACTTTATTCTTTGAACTTGTTACAAGTAAAACATATTTTCAACAATTACTGAACACTAGAGTTGGTGTACTTGGTGACCGCTTTTGTTCCCTCAGACACTGCATGTTTGGCCAATTCTCCAGGTAAAAGTAGACGAACAGCCGTTTGTATTTCCCTACTGGTAATAGTGGATCGTTTGTTGTACTGAGCCAAGTGCGAAGCTTCTATCGTAATTCGTTCAAATATATCATTGACGTAGCTGTTCATGATATTCATAGCTTTGCTCGAAATTCCAGTATCAGGATGAACCTGCTTCAAAACCTTGTAGATGTAAATCGCGTAACTCTCTTTTCTGCGTCTTTTCTTCTTCTTGTCGCTTTTCAAAATGTTTTTTTGCGCTTTTCGGGCACTTTTTTCGTTCATTTTTGGCGACATGCAAGCGTCGAAATGTCAGTGAATTTTTGTTCAAACTTGCCACTTTGTTTTTATGTAAAAAAATTTCGCCACTTTGATGAAAAAAACCTTTCGCTTTGTAAAGAGATGGATGTCATAAGTAAATTTCATCAATTCAATTCTCCTACCTGCTATTTTATCGACCTGTTGTGAGTGAAATGAGACAGGACTGCAACACGGAAAACCTCTTTATTATTTGCGGTGAGTGTAATTTATGAAATGGATGTGGTTTTCGCTTTATGAAACGATATTCGATATCATTAGAACGACATGAAGCGGTATCCCAGCTTTTTCATAATGCATTCGCATTTCATTTTGTACTCTTCTAACTTTATTGCGCACATTTATTGCTAATAAAAGTGATTACACAATTTGCTTTAATCCGACATGTTCTCTTCAAACATACAAACATTCAACCCTTCCATCTAGTCGAAACCCAAATGCAAAGTTGTGTGATCCATCTCCGTTTCGAAAATGATAAACTGCTTGTTTCAACATAGAATAAGTTGTTGCGCATCTGCGATTTGTTTACTTGCTAATTTAATAGTGGAAATTAAATTTTGGGTCGGTGCAAATAAGGGTTGCAATGCAACATGGAGAGGGCTAGAAAACCATTTAAACCTCATCTAGACGACTAATTATAAGTTGAGGAATTAGTTGGTTTTTCAGTGTACATGCTCAAAGTTGTCTCTTCTATGTTTTCAACTCTCCATTTACAAACACAAAGGGAAAACTTTATTAGTACACGTAACGATATCGTTCAATATCAAACACGTGTTGAACTCTTTGTTTTTAGGGCTTTATGTCGCGTAACGAATTCAATTCTTGAAATGTGTACACACTGAATTAAGTGTAATGAGTACAGAGTAGCTGCTATATTGCCACTTCATTTGCAATTTACATTTATTCAAAAGGATAATAAAACGGTTTATTAGTTCAACACAAAAATGCCGAGTTAATTGAAAACATAAATGAAAGTGGAAGCTTTTAAACTTCATGTATTATTTAAAAAAGATTCAAAACATTTTTCCTATAAAAAACAATAATTGAAAACGACTTTAATAAACCTTTCTAGACACAAATGCTTTCGTTCCGGTTAAACGTGCCAAGATATTTGCTACTTTATCATCGCTGAATATTTTTCGCTCCATATAAAAGTTCGCTTCAATTAAGCGATAAATGCACGCACGCTTTTAATAGCTAAATATTTTTTATCCCCAAAAATTACAACGAAATAAAATAATGTTTCATAATTGTAAATTTTTTACGTCAAACATTTATTTTATTTTTAGTATCAAACTTTTTATTTATAAAATATTCTTATAAGGTGCTGTGAATTATGAAGAGATCTTAAAAAGTTTTCAATTTGTGTGGTTACTTTGCTTGCAGAAAACGGTCGAATTGCCCATAATCTTCGCCTGTTGGCAAGCTTACGAAATTTCAGGTGTTTGCTGGTTTAGGTCGACCATTTTAAATTTCAATGAGATTGTCGAATTTATTATTTATGATAAAAGTTGGTAGCTAAAAATTTTCACCGCTTACGTTGTCGTTCAATTACTGGTAAGCACAAGTTCAATTAGGTAATTATTTGCAAATAAAACTTGATTAAAGCTCGATTTAGAGAGATAAATTTTCCATTACAAGTGTTAGGGAGTAAGTCTACTCTCTATCAATGAAACGGCAGCCGTGACAGCGATCTCGTCAAACGCTGCTTCTCCTGAAATCTAGATGATTAATGAGCCGACCTCCTTCACAACACCCGAGTCAAGTCTTCTATAAAGAATATAATTCGGGCGATAACGTAATAATTTCAACTTTTCACAAAACTGCGCCAATGAATACGAATTTCAAGTGTTTTATTCAAATTTTATTGAAAAAATTACTCCCGGATTATTGTGTTGAGAAAAGTGGTTTTAATATTTGAGTACAAGGAGACAGCGTAATTGATGGTTTCTGCAATGACGTAAGCAGAATTTAGCAAGATTTTACAGTAATTGGTATTTGGTCGAATTTAAGGAAGACCATAATCCAATAATCCTGTTCTAATTTATGCCCCGAGCCAAACCTAAAACCTGATAAATATTTCAGCAAGGGTGCAAGATTTCGTTAACGACCACCTGCACCTGGAGATATGTTTCTGCAGTGGCGATCACTGCAACTTTGCCAATCGATATGTCGACCTAAACTGCAAATTTTATACTTTCTTATTGATGATCGGTACATTTTACATTACAGCTGTAATATCAACCCTTATTTACACATATATTGCTTCTCGGGAGTGCAGTCAGCGAATTGAAATATAGCGATTTGTATTGGATTTTAAATTACCTGGCATAACCCACATGCTAAAACAAATTATTTTAAAAATAAAATTAAATAAAATTAATAGGTTTTCAAATAAACAATAAATAAAATAAATAATTTACGTGTACATATCTGGAAAATGGTGGAGGCGCCGGGTTAAAAGTATAAATTTAGTTTTCAGGTTTTTTAGAATGTTTTTTTTTATACATTTGAGTTTATGTAATAGTAGTAAGTGAGAATTACATGCAGGAGTTAACTCGCCCATCGTTGATTACAACAGTGTTAGTATTTAGTCTCGTTTAATTAGTACTCGTTTATGCACGTTTTAATCTCGTTAACACGGTAGATTAAAACAGGAATTGGCAAAAAAACTCGTTTTTTGCATAAACACAATTTTGAGAAGTTTCAATTAGTAAAAGTTGCATTGTTACAAATTTGTGCACCTAAATCGAATCAGACATAGATAAAGACGAATATTTAACGCTACTGCGCTTCCTAACACTTAAAGTTACCTAAGTGTAATAATTAAGCTCTTAAGTGTAGAGGTGTTTTCGAGGAGGATAGCCAATTTGCCTCGCGTGCTCACAAGGATAAGCTCTTCTAAGTTATGGGAAGCTTTATGCTGGTTGATCGCCGCTGCGGTACACAGACTTCTTAGTTTTCCAGTACACGTTGTCGTTATGAGTCGACTGACCCAATTTTGCATGCAGAATACCAAAAATAATTGACTCGACTCTATTATCGTCACAAAGACTTCGGGAAATCTCACGGGAACGTATTTGCTTTACTCGAAACGACTTTAGTCTTTAGGTTCGCAGTGCTGGGTGCTTTAATACCACTCGTAAAAGAATTTTATAAAGGTAGACTAACTTCTTTACGAGCTCGCGGTAACAAGAACAAAAATAAAAATTATAAAAGTACCAAAAGAAACAATTTTTTTTAATATTATGTTTGCATACTTTCAGCGTTAAAGTTGCCTGTAAATGTTACGACTGCGACTAAATAAACTTATTTAAAATTAGTCATTTTTGGGACTGGTCAACTAGGTGAACTACAAAATTAATATATACACTGGGTGACTGTAAATGATTGTGATTTTTTACCTCAAGTTGGTGACAAATTTAAAATTCTGGTTTGGCAACTTTGACTTTCAAATTCAAACGTTAAACTTTTATAGGCAATTGTCATTTATTTGCCTCGGGCGAATGCTGATTTAGCCGCCACCTAAAACATTCTTATATAACAAAGAAGTATTACCAATAATTCAGAGTTGCCAATATATTTTTTTATCACAAACATTAATTGTCTCCCGATACCATTGTCTTGTTATGACATAAAAACATTTTTGTTATTGTTTACTTAAACGACAAATACATTCAATGTAATTATTTGCTCATACACTCATTAAACATGTGTTATATCGTGTTATAATTTTATTATTGTTCAATGAATATATCGTTTAAGCCAAAAAAGGGAAACATTAATAAAGCTATGATTGTAAGGAAGTAAAATAAGATATTTTTTTTAGGTATTTTATTTTTTATATACATATTTTATTTGAGGCTATTTGGAGTAGATTGTTATGTTTTACGAGTGTGATTTTTAAAATGTTTAAAAAATACATCTGAGTCATCATTTCAATCTTTGAAATTGAGGTTGAAATAATTGTTGAAGTTCATAAAATTGCAAAAAACAGATTGGTCTACTTTGCATAATTCAATCTGAGAATTAAAAAAATTAGCACATTATTTAAAAAATATATATAATCTTAAGAATAATTATTACTTTTATAATAATTAATAAATTTTCTACTAAGTAAGTCTTCAACGTTTTTGTTTTTTTTATTTAATGTTTCCAAATGAGACTTTTTTACTAAAACCCATTTCTGCGAAGAAATTTCTTAGAAATTCCGATCCTCAGCAGTAGTCAAACACTAACTACTTTTTTAGAATAAAATTATGAAAAATTAATTAAGTAGTTCTCCGGTATCTGTATTTGAGTTTATTTGAATTTATATATTTTAGCGAATAAAGGTGAGTTTTGCTACGACTAAAAAACTTGTTATACTGTGTTATAATTTTATTATAGTTCAATAAATATATCGTTTAAGCCAAAAAAGGGAAACATTAATAAAAGCTATGATTGTAAGGAAGTAAAATAAGAAATTTTTTTTARGTATTTTATTTTTTATATACATATTTTAATTGAGGATATTTGGAGCAGATTGTTATGTCTTACGAGTGTGATTTTTAAAAATGTTTAAACAATACATCTGAGTCATCATTTAAATCTTTGAAATTGAGGTTGAAATAATTGTTGAAGTTCATAAAATTGCAATAACAGTTTGGTCCACTTTGCATAATTCAATCTGAGAATTAAATAAATTAGAACATTATTTAAAAAAAATTATAATCTTAAGAATAATTATTACTTTCATAATAATTAATAAATTTTCTACTAATTAAGTCTTCAACGTTTTTGTTCTTTTTTTATTTAATGTTTCTAAATGAGACTTTTTTACTAAAACCCATTTCTGCGAAGAAATTTCTAAGAAATTCCGATCCTCAGCAGTAGTCAAACAATACTAACTATTTTTTTTTTTGAATAAAATTATGAAAAATTAATTAAGTACTTCTCCGGCATCTGTATTTGAGTTTATTTGAATTTATATATTTTAGCGAATAAAGGTGAGTTTTGCTACGACTAAA